AATTCCAATTGTCCATGAAGAGAGCATGGATTGGAGAACAGCATGCAACTACTTCAAGGCATCAGAGGCAGTGTGTGCAGCTACATGCTTGTCTTCTCTGATAAAGGTGTGTGAATTTAGGACCATACTTCTTGGTGAGAGAAGGAAAATCCCTATGGCTCCATATGACCCAGTTGCCAGTGGTGAGGTGTAATGGTGTGTGGGTGTTGTGTTTTAACTCTACCTCAGCCAAAAATCAGCACATTCTGCCCTATTATGGAGCTGCTGAGTAAAGTTCTGCCCACAGAAGCGCCTAGAAAGGGAAGGAGGATCTTGTTGACCTGCTGTTTCCCTGAATATTTACCCTCAATGTGCTTGTTATGACTTTCTTCCCTAGCAACCCCAAGTGTGTTCATGTGAAAGAAGCCTGTGGCAGTGGAGCAATTCCTTAACACAAGCTCAAGAAGGCAGATTTGGAGACAAAAGCCACACTGTAACAGACTGAACATGCAACTGACCGAAGGTGCAGACTGAAATGTTGGAATGCAACCTGCATGGTCTGACAGGAAAATCCCCCAGACCAAATCCCTGGGCATAACACCTCTCTCTAGCCAAGCCAGTTTCAAACAGGGGAGCAGCTGGTTTTGGTCCTTCCATACCTGCTGCCTTGCTGGATCAGCCAGCAGCAGGTAGTCCTTCCAGCCACCTCCTCTATCTCCCTCCTTGCTGCTTTGGGAAGAACTAGCAACTGGTCCTGTGGAAGGAGGCTGTAGTTCGGAGAGGGGAAGGACCTGAAAAGCATTTAATTTTAATTAATAAAAAGGGGGCATTTAATTATTGTCTCCCTTTCCGGTGTTGAGCAAGGATCAGTTGTATCCAGGCAGATGTCTGACCCTGGAGATGCTCCTCTGTTGGGTGAGTTGAGAGGTCATTCACAGGCTGCTTGAAGGACCTGGGCAATCTCCCTCATGATGTCTTTCTTTCAAACAGAAGCTATTCAAATGAAAACAGAGAGTAGGCAGGCAAATAAAGAAGGGACTAACTAATTAACTGAGAGTTTTGGCTATGTTTTGGGGCAGTAAGAGCTGACAGATTCCTCCCTGAGATTGCACAGACCCCAAACAGTGCAGCCAGTAGGATGGGGGCATGCTGCATCCCATGGGCAGGAAAGAGCTATGGGGTGGCTGTGCCAGGGCAAGAGGAATGACCACCCAGGGCTGCTGCAGTCAGGACTTTGGAGGATGGTGTGTGCTCCTGCTGCTGACCCAACAGTGGTGTTCTTTCCACAAAAAAACTTTATCAGCCATTTTCTTGTTGATTTACTAATTATTGCTGGTTTTGCTAATAATGTTCCATTTAATCTCTCACAGCCATCCATTCTTTTCAAAGGCATGAAGCGTAACTCATGAAGACTGCTGACAACCTATAGAAATCCAGCCATCAGTTTAAGGCCAATAACAGCCCAGATGCTTTACATGCCGGTCCCAAGGGTGCCTGCCTGCATGAATCACACTGAGCAAAGCTGCTGACGCTGCAAAGGCTGCTGCGCTCCTCAGCCTGCCAAGCAAGACAGTGGGCTCAGAGAGGTGGAGGCTTTCCCAGAGGCATTTCTTGAAATACAATTAGGTCTGGCTGGGGAAGAAGGCGTTTGCTGGTGCGAGAGAAGAGGCTGTGATGGCAGGTGGATGGGAAGCAACAAGGCTGGCCAGTGTTGGCAGCTGAGGCTGAGCTGGTCAGGCACGGGAGATCCAAGAAGATGGTCTGCCAGGGAGCACTGGCTCTGTGTTCTCAATACCCTGTAACCACCACTCAAGCTAGGGAGGAATGGTCTCCAAGTCCTTGGACTTCAACTGCTTGCTTTTTTAAGAATAAAAAAAAGAGTGAAAGCTCACAAAGAATTGAAACTGCCTGCAGCAACCGAAGTGCCTTTTGATCCAACTACAAGTGCTTAGAAGAAGAAAAGAGACACATGTGTTGCTTTTAAAGGTATCACACATCCACCCACCTGTTGGGAACAGTTAAAAAATACAACTGGTCGGCTACAGTCTGAAGGGAGAGCTGTGAAAGGAATGGCAAGCGGAGAATTTTCTACAGGCGATGCTTAGAGCAGCAGCCAATGGAGAAGCAGCTGACATGCATACTCTGGCTCTTTAGAGCCTCTTCTGAGGAGATGGTCTGACACCCCCTGAACAGCAGAGCTGCTTAATTACCTTCACTGACAAGACTTGAAAGATAAAAATTAGGTACAATTTCTATATTACAGCAATTGCAATAATGTTTGTCTCCTAATTGCCTCTCAAGTGAAATAAAACAAAACACCATGCAATGAGGAATTTTTGTCATAAGCATTACTTACATGTAAAAGGATTCCACTAACTGCCTCCCCTGTGAAAAACAGAACATTAAATATCATGGCCTGGACGGTCCTGATGTACTTTCAAGTGTGATATCAAATGAAATGGCACCACTGACTGTGTGCATCAGATGCATACATGAAAACTATTTCAGCATGTTAAATCATGTGCATTAACATAATTTCCACCATGGAGCCTCTTCACACTGTGTTGGTATGATCAGCCCCTTTGGCTGTAACATCCGGAGTAGGGACAGGGAGTGGAAGGAAGGGGTGAGACACAGAACAGGGGTGAGACACAGAACAGAATCAGAAGGCTTCTTGCTGAGAAAAATCTAGTTGTGTTTTCCCCCCCCCCCCCCACACTCAGAACAAAATGTGAAGCTACAGATCCTCCAGGAAAACACAATAAAATGCAAAAATATTCTTGGAACAAAAATGTTCCATTTCCAAAATGTCAAAATGATGTTTTGACACTACTGAAAGCTGTAGTTTCAGTTAAATAGAATTTAATGTTTGAAAGTGACATGCTTTTATGAAGAGTTCTGATTTTGACAAAGTGGGATTTTCCTGCATTGAAGCCATCTGATAAAGTCTAAGCAGCTCTGATTACCAATATATTACAGCTAGGTGGGATTTTAAGTGAAGGAATTAAAATCCCATTTTGAAAAACGGGGAGAGGTTAGCTAAGTTGGTAATTATGAGGAAAAAAAGATGGTTTGAGGACTCTCTGAAGGAGATATTACTAATACAGCAAGAGTTTTACATGTTTTGGGAATGTAACAGTGAAAAATGAACAGTACAGGTTTGCCGTTGATGGAATGTCACCTCTGCCTCAACCAGACAGCTGACCAAAGAGATTTCCATTCTTTATACCACAGACACAAAGTGATGTAGATGGGTGTTGTATTACAAGCATTGGCACATTTAGGGTTCCCTATATTATGTCACATAATGACATATATGACTTTTCATTTAACACAGTTGTTCAGCTATTCCTATTTAGGGTATTTCAGCATGCAGGAGGATTTGCTGAAAGCTGGTCAGTCCTGCAAACTTATGACAAGTTTTTTAAATTAGGAGACCAGTCCCCAGGAGTTTAGTGAAAGCCTTGTAGGATATGGTTTCTCCTATTTTTAAGGATTTCCAGGAGTAGGCCTTTGAACAGGCATCTTTTTGTAGGAGTTCTAGTCTAGCAACATGCATCAATTTAAATTTTATTTCATGAGGTATTTTTGGTAACATTCTTTTCTACATAAACAGGGTCAAACAATCTTGCATACAATCCAGGACCCTGTTTCTCAATAAAGTTGAGCTAACTAGCACTAAAATCACCTGCATGACTTACAAACACTTGCTACCTCTGCCTGTCATGCACTAGGGGTTTGAACTGTATGGGTGTGTCCATCCATAGTCACCCTTTGTAGATGAAAACAAGGACATACTCATTCCACAGATTCATACACATTCCTCAGCCTGAGACCTGTTTTGTTCCCCTTCAGTTACAGGGAGTGTCAATAAGCACCTTTTAGACTTGTGTAAGAGGCAGAAGTGAATTTTTAACTCACTTGAGACAGAAAGTCCAGCACATCTGTCTGCGTACTGAAAGCCACCGCGCAATCAGGAACCAACCCTAGAGCATTTGTCCTGGGCCTGCGCGAGGTGCAGGTCGTCGTTTTTTTAAAGATGCAAAAAAACCTAAACCAAACCAAACCAAACCAAACCAAAAACAAACCCAAAAACCAAACGCAGAAATTCAGATTTTTCTTGGAGTGCCACAAAGTGTGCGCCAGACTGAGGCGGCTCAGGGAGCGGCGCTGACAGCTGTGCGCGCCAGACACCGTGGGAGCCATCCGCCCCCTCTTCGGTGTGACGGGAAACATCCTGTCACAAACACTCTCTGCATTCCAGCTCGTCTTGAATGAATGATCTGTAAACGCTGACGGGAGCATCCTGCTGGGAGCCTGTGACTCCTTGGCGGTATTTACGAACGTGTTCGATAGGAGAGCCACGACGGTCAAAGCCCATCAGAGGCAGAGCACCGCAGCATCAGAGCTCCAGCCACAAGTCTGCTAGGGCTGCTCCCTCTAGCGGGAAAAAGTACTTCAGCTGGGGAAAAACCTTCCCCTCCTTCTTTTTTAAAATTATTTCTTCTTCTTCCCCCTCTTTTCTTTGTTCTTGTTTGTTTGTTTGTTTGTTTAAGTGAACAATTCAAGTTTTCCGGATAGTGCAAGACACGGGGCAGTTTTCCAGCCCTTGAGCATGGAGAGCGGAGCTGGTGTGCCCAGGCAATGCAGGTCAGCGATTGCTCCTCAGAGGCGGCAAGGGAGGGACTCGGTTTGTCTTCTAGCAGTCCTATACATATAGCTGTGTTTGGTTTTGATTTCCCACTTCTGGTTACAAAAATAGGACTTACTATAATCATAATAATATTAATGATACAAAATAATTATTGTAATTATATAATTTTTGGCAAACTATTAACACAAAACAGCCCCAAAAGATCCCATTGGATTAAAAAAAGTGACAACGCACAAATGTTAAAAAAGACAAAGTCTTCGATAAAAAAGAAGGAAAAGCAATCTGCAAATGAATGCATTTCTGTAAGGCAACGTTACCTTTAGTCTTCCATCAAAATTTAGCTCAGATTCTGTTGTTTAAGAAATTACTAGAACTTGGCTTGCTTGAGCTTATCAATGTGGTAACACAGTTTCAGTGCTGGTCCCAATTTCAGCCCCAGGTATTTCATGATCATGTCGCTTTTCAGCAGTAACAAAGCATTGCCATCAATTTCCTGGTTTCAAAAGAGAGGAAGAGAATAAAAATGTGTTAACCCCCCTTTAAAGTGCTGTGTCCTCACACATTAAACAAGGTGAATTAGAAACAGCATGTCATTTAGGGTAGAGCTACATGAAATGTCATGCATTTTGAAATTTCATTTAAAAAACTGAAGTCTGAGGTGTGATAGTAGGAACCCATAAAGGAAGGTTTAATTAAACCCTACTTTTTATTCTTCAAGGAACTATAAGATTAGTTTAGGTTTTCAATTTATTTTGCAATTAAAAGTAGAATTTTTTAAAAATCAGGGTTGCTCTAAGCGCAATTCTGAGAAAAGCCAGTCAGCCTTGAGAGAAAGGTATGAATGATGGAGACAGCAAAGGATGTAGCCATATTAAACTGCTAATAGAACACCTCTGAATCTCACTTTCAATTTTGTCCCCAGCTATCTGTGTGTTTCACATATCTCCAGTACAATTATACCCAGTGATGCAACCATATGGTATATGTGGATGCGTATATATATGTTTTTTTCTCAGATTTGAGACTTGTAGTAACTTGCTTTAATTGCATTTATTATTAAATTTGTTAAATTTTAATTTAACCTTCATGTAAGTGGGTGAAATTGCCACCAAGCTTAGCTGTTTATCCCAGAGCTGTTGGCTTGAAAACCTTTCGAAATTACAAGGTACTATGGCAAAAGAAGCCTGAGCCCACCGAGAAACATTCTCCTCTACCTTGGGCTGTAGGACACAGATGCTTTCAGCTGTACTGATCTTCTTTAGACCCAGATCCTGTCTGGTTTTTCCTGACTCTATCAGTGGAGCTGCCAAAAAATACTCCTGCCTCCACAGCTTCCTGCACATTTATACACTTGGAGTGCCAGATCTAAAACATCACAAGTGTCATGTATGTGTGCATACACATACACAGATACACACCAATGCTGTCTGTACTGTGTTCTATGGTTTTGATGGTCCACTTTGAGCTATTGCCTACTTATTAAGAAACGCTATGGATCCTAATTTGCCCTGATCATTATTATTCCATTCACTAGGTGATTTATCTGATGAGCAGTTAAGGTCACTTTCTGATTAACTCAATCAATTAATGTTCCTCATTTTGCAACCCCCACTCTATCCATAATAGAAATTCTCTCTGCCTCCTTGCTCTCCTTGCCATTATTTTAAGGAAGCTAATGTAAAGTAAGAATAAGTGTTACATATAATTACTATTTGCATAAGAAATAAAATAAGAACTTCTTTAACTGTGATGCCATAGGGTAAAAATACTGTTAAGGGTCAGCTGTGGAGGAAGCTGCTTCTAAATGTTGAGTTCAGCATTTTATTATTTCCATTATTATTACTGTGTAGGTGTCAAGATTAAACTCCATGACACTAGTATGCCAGAGGGAGCATTCATATCCAATTAAATATCCCATATTAGCCATTTCTCTGTGCAGATTCTTGGCTTGACTTCTTTACAGTATTACCATGTCAGCCCTTTTAAAAATATTTTTTAAAAGAAGACTTTGATAACATGGTTCCCACATGAACATTAGCCCCAGCAGAAGATCTTGAACCAGCTCTGGAGCTGGTAACACTCAGTGCCATCAGGGCCAACTTTCCCCTCCTCAGTTTCCTTTCCCTCTATCTTTCTACCAAGTCTTTCCTGATGATGGAGTCTCCACGGGATCTCACATGGTGCTGCTACACAGTCCCTGATCAGGGAGTGGCTCCTTTCTCTGAGACCAAGAGCTCTGTGCTTGGCACACGGATGTGCTCAGGGAGCAGGGAACAGCTGACAGGAGCTGCAGGAAATTTCTCAGTCTTTGGTGGACACTCTCAGGAGCTACTGGTGACAGAGCTCCTTGGGTATCTTGGCAAGAAGCAAAGCTTCTGCTCCTGGTGGGAAGAGCAGACAGCCAGGACATTCTGCAGTGCCTTTTGGGGCAGTGAAGGATGTGGGCTGCAGGCTGGAAGAGCTGGCTCTGAGGACTGACCCAAATGGCCTAGTAGAGCAGTAGGAAAGCACACTGCCCATGTTCAGGATCCATCCTCCAGCTGTTTTCTTCCTGCTGGTCCCAACAGCCTCTCTCTCCCATCTCAGATGAGCTGATTGCCAAACTATTTCAAGTGATAGCTGGGCCTTGTCAATGACAGTAAGTGCTTCTAAGTAAATTATGCACCTGCTCCATAGAAAGATTGAACATACAGGAAGATATGGCTGAGGTTAATGGACTAATCACTTGTCTCTCACCCCTGGGGTCTTTGTGCTAATCCAGATGAGGTTTGAAGGCTGAAAAATTACAGGGATATATATAACTCAAAGGTGTAATTGAATTGAGTTGTGTGGCAATCATACCCAGGTTCTCACACCTATGGCATATTTTACAAGGAAACCAATGATAAGTAGAGCCCATGGGTGCTGGTGTGCAACAAAGGATGACAGGGACAGTCTTTAGTGGCAATTTAGCTTGATCTCTTTGGTCGCAGAGCAGCTGCAGTACCATGGCGTTCTCCAGTGCAGCTGGCCCATGGCTGCCTGGAGCGTTCCCAGGCCCTGCTGCTACATAAAAGCATACTTAGCTACAAATGGAAACTAGACAAAATTAGTGCTTCTGCACTTTCCATATTTACAGTACAAACTTTAAAAGTTGGGGTTTTTTCCTTTGGGATATACCTGTATGCCTCAGACCATGTCAGTTCTCACTCCCTTGCATGAAGATTTTTCTCTTGATGCACAGCCCCTTGTGATATTGTAAGAAACTGATTTTACAGCAAGTTCCTTCAAGTCTGAAGGTGTCTTGTTTTTCTGCCATATGACCAATATAGGCCATGCTTTCATTATCAGCTTATAAGGCAGAAGGCAGGAAAAGCAGGCCAGCACCTAACCTGTACCTGCAGATTTGGCCCTACATCGCTGTGCCTGTTGTTGTTCTCATCCCACAGTCCTGTCTACAGAATGGCAGATGGCCTCAATACCTTCCAGGGTGAGCAGACACCAGGGCCTGGGTTCATTTTCAGCTGCTCCTCAGCCACCTCCTCTCCTGTATCTGGAAAGCCTGGAGGCAGAGTGTAGCTGGAAGTCCATTTACCTCCCTCAGCTCCCATCTGCAGCTCCACAGCCCCACTTGTCTCTTCTGGCATAGGGTCAAGGAGTGATCAAGCCCTCTTGTTGTCTCTGGTCAGCACTAAGGGCTGGGAGCAATTCTCATTTAGACCTAGGTCCAGGCACTTACATGGAAACTTAACGACCTCCAGCTGAATACAAACAAGTCAATTCTAGGGTAAAATCCATTTTTTGTAGCCAGACTGAATTGATTGTGGTGACATGGAGAAGGCCAAAAATGCTAATAGATACACTGGTGTCAATTCTATATACAGCAGCAGAACAAGAAACTCCAGATCAGACAAGTTTATTGTCTTCCCAGTTACTAATTAAGAATAATAAAATTACCATCACTGGAGGAGGTTACCCTTACTATAATACCCTATAGAGAGTCAGCAGGTCTGTTAAATTTGGTTATGTAGTTACATAATACTGAGGGGAAAAAGATTAAAATATTGGCTGTTTTGGGTTTCTCCTGCTAAATATCTGGAGACATATAAAAATGCTCTTCAGAGAAGAATCATATATATCCTGTGAAAAAAATTGTCACTGAAATGAGGCTTTTTTTTGGTGCCAATCTGACAATGAAAAATGAGCACCAGATCCTCAGTGCTTTCTCTAAGGCTTGGCATAGAAATAATTTATGCTGGAATAATGGGGAACAAACAGTGAGCATTTTCTAAAGACACTGTTATGGGTTCCCCATTGACATAGAAATGAATAGAGTAGCATAACAGTACAAAATAGAGTGGAATGGAATGGAATGGAATGGAATGGAATGGAATGGAATGGAATGGAACAGAATAGAATAGAATAGAATAGAATAGAATAGAATAGAATAGAATAGAATAGAATAGAATAGGAAGGTCTTCAGTTGGAAGGGACCTACAATGATCTAGTCCAGCTGCCAGAGCAACTCAGGGCTGACCAAATGACACTGTGTTATTAGGGGCACTTTCCAAAATCCTCTTAAACACTGACAAGCTTGGGCCATTGCCCAATTTTCACAAAGCCCGTCCTGATGTTTAACCACCATCTCAAGGGATAAGTGAAATTTCTTTAGCCCAAACCCTCCAGAGGCCCTGCCAGGCCTGCATTCAATCTGGTTGAGGAAGCCCGAGGCATTTGAAGGGCTATGTGTGACATGTGCTGTCTGTCTCTTGTGATTTAAATTTCCTAGAGGTGGTAAGGTGGTAAGCCTTCTACATACGTGCTTTCTGAAGAGCTCCACGTGAGGGCCTAAAGCTTGAGGGTCTGCATCCTTCACAAACCAAACCACGTCATCCACCGTCCAGGTCAAAGGATTCTTGCTTGATGGCCGAGCTGCATCTTCTTGTTCAGGTGAAGGACTTGAGGCTATCAGTACAAAAAGCCCAAAACAATGCATTACAATGGCACACAGAGGTTTCCTCTGTTTGTGATTGTGAGTGTGCAGGGCTTCGGCAGTCTCACTGCAGCACTGGACATTGTGCATGCAAGTACTGGCCTGAGATGGTGGCATAGGGAAAAAAGGGGACTTGCAGAAGTTTCCAATCCGACTGCTTATTGGAAGACATGATCCCAGCTGGTGAATTGTGTCAAAAAACATTAAACCCCTAGGTCCCTGCTGGGAAGAAAAAATGTGCCAGCTGCCAGGCTCTTAAACCAAGCTGCCCCTGCTGTCTGGTCTGCAGCAACAGGGATCTTGGCTCAAGAAGACACTACCCTCACACCTAGAGAGAAGTTTCTTCAGCACTAAACAAAGGAGTGCCATTGAATATGAAGGATGGAGGATAAAATCAGGATTTAGAAAATATGGTTTTTTAATTTGCATTCAGATATTCATAATTCTTTTAGAGCTTAGCAGAAGGTTTTCAGTCCATGTCTTCCTAATCTTAGTCTTTCACAAAGCTGATGGTCCCCAGTGAATGCCAATTTGGAAAGCTGCTAAAACATGTGAAGATGAACATTGCACATGTGACTTTTTAATGGTATAACCCAACAATGATTTAAGGTGACTTCAACTTGCCATAGCTTTAAATCAAGTGAATAAAGGCACATAGGAATGAAAGTGCATTTATGTTTTTATTCTTAGTCTCTGCAGAATTATAAATCTCAATCTCCACCTGAATATAATTTGTATCCCCACTTATGCTGCTTCTTTACAACAATAACTATATTATGCTAGGTTACAAGAAAACTGTTTCCATTTGTTTATATCCACAACAAGCAAATTTTGCATTAGCAGACAGCAGCACACAGATGAATTAAATGTTACTTGCTCACACCTTCGCATCTCTTTCTGTCAAGGCCCAGTTTTTAATGAGAGAAGTGCAAATGGAAAGCAAGTATACTATACAGAATACCAGAAATCAAACAGAAGAGTGTGTGTAGAGGGACATCACAGACACCTAAACTAGAGCCTGGAAATGCCCCAGGTAGCCAAGAGACAATCCTAACTGCTGAGAAGAGAAGGGACGAGCTCTCCAGAGAAATACTAAGCTTATAAAGACAGATGAGATATGTAAGAATCCCCATGCATTACTCCAAACACCATCCTAATGTCTGTGAGTAAATGTGTTGGGTGGGTTTGGGGCTTGTGTAGATTGTCATTCCATTGACTTCAATAGAGCTCTGGTGATTTATATTAGCTGAGACTCTGCCCATATACACCCAATAATGGGTTTATGTGCCTATTTGTCCTTTTTCCCTTGCCACCATGCTCATCTTACAGTATAATGTAACGAGGTGTATTTGCAGTTACTCAGAATGAACTCTAGAAAGCAGCAGTGCTATGAATGTGCAAATCTGGTCGATGGTTTTCATAATGAGATGAGATGTAAATATCATGATAATTGCACTCTCATTTGCTAAGTCACTGTTCTCGATACAAAGGACAAGGAACAGCCTCAGGTCCTTTTAATTAGAGAGCAAGGACCAGTGTTTGTATGGACTCAGGTGACCCTGGCCTCTGCTCACAGAATAAATGCAATACACAACGGTACAGACACCATCTGGAGCCTTTGGCATGAAACAGTGAAGACAGAGAGTGCAAAACTAACAATGTAATCTTGGCCAATACCGGGATCATCAGTAACAATGAGGAACTCTGTCAGGGACAAGTGGGAGAACTGAGACTTGTTTTGGAGACACAGGGGTATTTCTCCCCTTCATGATCTATCAATGGTTTGGATGAGAGCTGATGTGTGGAGGCATTGGGCACCACATCACCTCAAAACAAAGGTCAGGAAAAAGAACAGTCTCTTGCAATCTAGTCAGAAAAAGATGGAGGAGAGAAAGGTTTGGCTGTGACCAAAAGACTGCAGAAGTTTCTCTGCTACTGCCATAACATGGTCAGGGGAGATGTGCCACTACTGAGGAGCATGTTTTTTTCCCTTAAATTTGTATAAATTAAGGAAAGCCCAGAGGACTTAGCCTGGGATTTACACCGGGAACAGAAAGGGCAGCCTGCAGCCCACTGACTCCTGCCTGCAACCTGACCAGAAAGGGCAAAGGGGAGCAGAGAGCCCCAAGTGCAGCTGGGAGCCTTCACAGATATTGGAAGTATCTGTAATAAAAGGAAGGGGAATGAGAAGAAAAGGTTGAAATGACAGGAGGAATCTATTCACTCCTTTGCAATCTAGCAATCAATAGCATAAATATGATTTCTGAAAGACAAATATATAAATGACCTTTCTAAAGAGACTGCATGGCTAGAATTCTTCCATACCCTAGCAGGTGAAGATAACCCTTTCAAATCCATCCCTGAGGGATAGTATAATATCATAATATACAAGCAAGAATTATGTGTCAATATTAATTCTTCAAATACTTTTTGTGTCTTTATTTATCTACCTAGTATCAAGTTTTGGATTCTCTGCTGCTTTTTCATGAATTAAGGTGTGTTAATTTATTTGTGTGAAAGGAGCTACCTTTAAATGTTATTAGTAAAACTGAGATACAGCCAGTTTGCAGCAAAATATCAGGTTTTAGCTGATGAGTCTGGAAACAATCTGTTTTCCCATATATTTTATAATTTATTTTGTTGATTAATTTATTTGGCTTTTTAACATTGTAGTTTACCCATCAGAGTGTAATTTCTCAATTTACAAAATAAAAGAAACTCCATGCCTTTGTGTAGACACCTTTGTGGTGTCTACACAAAGGCATGGGGTTTCTTTCAATAGCATCACTTTGGTGAAAGATTATAATGAAGCACAAAAGTGTTTGATGGCAGCAGGGCAAGTACTATACATTCTTTTCATATCTGAAGGTATTCACACTTAACCTAAGAATTAGATAAATGAGGAAGTCTCATGTCTCCTGGGTATCCTATGCCATCCTGTCATCAGAATTAATCAAGATGATAATGAATACTCAGATTACAAAGAGATGGGAGTGCTTGCGACCAATAATTATTTTTAGAGATCATAATCTAGGTCAAATCCAATTTCCTGTTTTTGACAGGTGGCAAAAATTTGTCAAATTAATGGAATGAGATATGGAAATTTAGGCAATCAGAGGGAAGCACTTTCCCCTCCTGCCTCAAACGATATTGGGGAAGGACAGTGAAGAGGTTCCTCTGCAGGGGAATGTCTCAAGGCATCCCAGTCAAGATCACTGCCCACACAGAAACAGCTGGAATTACCAGGTCAGTGGCAAAAGCTGAGTGAAACTGAGGGAAAGAGGTAGTCTGTCTCAGTCTGATTTTTCACCCCACACTTTTCTCTGACATTCATCTCTAACCTCTGGACCCTCCTGAGAAGGAGAATGGAGACAGAGCCAACAGCCAAATGGCTGCAGAGGCAGGACAAGGAAATAAAATGCTAAAATGGAGTTAAACCTGCAAAAGAAGGAAAGACAAATAACAGACTCCCTAAATATGTTCTTGGCAAACAAACAGAGCCCAGAGGGAGTACAGTCATTGATAGATAAGAGTGGAAAGGGAGTGACAGATGAACTTTAATATTGCTGCAGGCCTAAATGATTTCTTTGCCTCAGGGGAAGGGGGTGGGAATGAAATTTTAAAAGGCTCTCTCTGATTGCACTGGAGCAGATAATAAGGAGCAGCAGATCTACTGAAACTAAGCAGAAGTAGCATACCCTCCAAAGGTACAGAGAAATGGGAATTATTTTTAAAAACACAAACCACCCCCCCCCTATAAACAAGGAAAGGAGGAAGGCTTTAAGATACTTTTCTAAAAATCCAAGGCACACCAAGAAGAACACCTGGAAGAACACAACTACAGGATATTTGGGGCAGGGTAGGGTGTTAACAAGCCATGATCAGCAGAGAGCTCTGCAAAGATCAGGCTCAGTGCATCTGTTTGCACTTGCCGGCGCTGGCAGGACATGTCAGGCACCACCTGCCTGGTGTCCTCCGCCTCGCAAGGCGTCACAGCAGAGTCCCTGTCCCAGCAGTGACAGCATGGCACACACCGTGCGGGGATGCAACACCGCAGGTGCTCCTCTGCCCGCTGCAGGTGCAGCCCAGCACCCGGCTGCATGAGGCATGGCTGCGGGCATCAAATATTTATCCCGGTTTTTCTTGCTTTGCCTCTCCTTTGTAGGGGAAACAAAAAAGCAGCTCACTGGAAGCCCCGAAACTTTCAGACTGAAATGTCCCCAAAAATTAGCAGGCAGGCTGTATTTGCTGAGGCAATGCTGAGGCTCACAATGCCATCAGCAGCTCCTTTGCCTTGGGGCAGTGCTAGATCTGCCCCCCAGTGAGCTGCTTGTAGCATTATTCTGGAAAAAGATAAATTTCTACTCCTGTGCCCCCAGATGTTTTCAGAAAATACGTGTACTAATAAGCAGGACTACCCCTTTAACAAAGACCCTCAGGTGATAATAATTAACTGCTAATACTGGATAATAAAATCTCCATAAAAATAACAAGCTACAGGGCAAGGTTAAGGTTATTATATTGTGGTTGAACACACAATTCTTCATACTTAGGATAAAGGCTTTGTCTGTTATGTAAGCAGGCTTGGAAAGGTTTATGATGTCCTTGACTATTCCTTCCCTAATTTAAAAGCTTCAATTTGGCAAATGATGACAGGAAAGTGCATGTTTATCTGTTTGCAGCCCCAACTGGCTTTCTGAAATGAGGCTTTTTTTACGTCTTTTTTTCAGAATTTTTTAGCATAATCAAGGAGAATTAGGCATCAAGCTTCCGATCGCATTAATGAGAGCTTTGAGGTTTAATCCCATCCATTCCGCTTGAAAGACATGTTCTGCTATGCACTGAGATATGTTTTATGATTATGGCTTTTTCCATGATATTTGCCCACCGTGATAAATAAGGCAAGCTATTTTTCAAAACTATCCATAAATAAACAGGATTGGTCTGAGGTTTCAGAGATAAATTCTTCCTCTTTAATGAGCCCATATCTGCCTCATAAGTATACAAACTGAAGAGGATAAGAACAGAGACCGACATGCTCCACTTACTCATCTTTGCTTACTTATGATTCAGCAACATATAAATTATGCCTAGAAAGAAGAAAAACACATGCACGGATTGTTAGGGACCTTGGCAGCAAAACCTGTATGGGTTTGCATGTGCCTCTGTAGTAGACCATAATCTACAATGGGTGATACCAGGACTAATAAATGCCTAAAAATTAAGAAAACCCCAACAATATAAATGAATCCAAAACCATTTTAATGATGGTCATTGCATACATTTCTGTTTTAGGAAGCCTTTAGTGTTGAGCTGGCCAAATGACCTAGAGACCTCAGAGGAACTAGACTATGCAAGCGTCAAATGATTGTCACATAAAAATTACTAAGCTGTTTTGGGATGAGTTCTGTTAACCCCAGGTGGTATATATAGCAGTTTCAAGTCGCTTGTGACTGCTTCAGAGGGACTCGTGTAATGGATACCTGGTTCAAAAGCAATCTCTCCCTCTTTGCTCCTCAAAGTGCTTTTAACAGTTTTAAGCCAGAGAAATACAGGAACTTGCAAAGCCTATTGCATGACCACTCGATGACTTTTTTGTTGATTCAGTTCTGGAAAAAACTGAGCCATATTTCAGCCTTCCATTTTGTAAAGACTACGGATTTTGTGGGAAGTCATGAAAAGAGAGATGGAGGTGCCTCCTGAAGCTCAGCTTCCTGCTCGGCACTACATGGATGTTTCACAAAACATCAGCAAGACTGGGAAATAGTGACATTCAAAATCTAAAACAAAAACAGAGAGCAATGCAGCTTAAGAAGCTTAAGAAGCTCTGATTTTAAGCTTCAGTCCCTTGAACATAGTTTCTGTCCCCTGATACCAAGGGTTTTCTCCACACAACACATTCTTACGTACAGAAATTCTGTGTATTCTGAAAATACACAAAATATTCAGTAAGCCACCAAGTGTTCCAGAGGGGGAAAAAAAAAATCTGTGAAGGGTTACTATGTATGAATCTACCACCTCTGGTTGCAGAAGTCTTTGAGACACAGATTTCTGAAGGCAGAGAGAGTAGTGGGAATGCACCACCATCTCTGCATTTATCCCTTTCCTTGGGGAATGCTGCTGTTTCCTTCTAGAGACAAGATGAGTGGCAAGACAGACCTTTGCTCTGAATGCCCTGGCTTTTCATGTGTGCTACAAAGAGACAATGACTGATCCAAGAAGAAGGATCAAGATTTTTAAGAAAAGTAAGTACCAAGATTGTTAAATCTTGGCTCCTCACAGCTGCCAACTATAAAGCTTGGTGAAAGGGCCCCAGTTCTGCTAGGAGGCTCTAAGGAAGTGGTGGGAGAGGGGTAAATGAATCCTCTGCACAGTGAGCCTCTTGTCCTCCCAGTATCTAATTATGCCAGCCTGAGAGGCACTGAACAAGATCTGAAAGAAAATGGCTTTTCATTTCCTTTTCTTTGTAACTAAGGCCACTAGATCCTAGTGACAAACTTTTACAAGCTGTTTGCAGTGTACATCTGTACTATCTACTTTGTTTTGAGTAAAGTTGACTCTGTAGGTAAAGAACGAGATAATTATGAGAACCAAACACTTATTGGTGGTCTCTATAAGTAGACTATCATAAGCTAAACCAGGGAAGCAACTGTGTAGAAATAATAGCAAAGTAAAAACAATAGCTTTGGGTGGGTATTGAATATTCAAGAAGGCAAACTTAGATAAACAAATAAATACAGGGAAAAGTTCTTGTAATACATCTTTTGAAAGAATAATGTTCTAAAATGTTAAATAGTGAAAATTCAGGAAAAATAATTAATACAGATGTTGGGGAGGTGAGGAATGTGAAAAAAATAAGTAAAGATTAAGCAGAGGATATTAGAAAGAAGCTCTGGAATGGCTTCCAAGCAAGAATATGCAGAATCAATTGAAGTTTCCAAGGGAAATGCAAGGGCAAAAAGACAGTGTAATGAGATAATGGTAGACAAAGGGCTAGGGGAACCAGTAATCTTCTGCAAATATATCAAGATTTAAAAAAAAAATAGTATTAGAGTGGCAGTAGATTCCATTAATAAATGAGGAAGGGAAAAAAAATTAACGACTTTAAAATGGCTGACACATTCAACTCCTTTGTTAGATCTGTCATCAGAATGAAAAATGCATACATGAAGTTTGAATAATTAGTAAGGGGTGAAGACACTGTTGGCATCACTACTGATAAAGACCTGTTGACTGAGAATTTGGAAAATGCAAACAAAGTTAACTGAAGTTCAGTGAAATAGCTAACCTGCCTGATGAATTTGAGTAATTTCTAGAGGAAAAAACATCATGGCCACTAGGAACTGTAATGGATGAGTAGAGCAACTACCCCAGCAAATGGTAACTGAACAAAAATACAAAGAAATTGAAGAAGAATCATGGAATGCAGTGTTTCCTACGGCATTTTTTGAATTTGCTGATAAACTTCTTGTGTCTGACTTTGCTTCCTAAAGAATAAAAGATCCTTAAGCAATGAGCTGAATTATTTTTAAAAACATATGTTTTGTTGAGGAGTGTTTTTCAAGCAAAAGCTGGCTTGGTATGTAATTAAAGGGGTAGGATGGGCACAGAGCTAGGAAGCAAAACCTTTGGCTAAAATGCTTTGAGGTAGGCACTAATATTTGGGTTTGCTCTGCATCACATCTTGTACACAGCTGGTGTCACCCAAATAACAGGTACCTGCCTGTAGGCAGTATGACTCTTTGGGAGGAATGCTTTATATATGAATGTCTATACATCTGAGCTGATAATAACAGGTGTGATTGCCACACAGCTATAAGTAATACACATGTTTACATAACAACAGCATTAGAAAACCTTCACCTTTTTACTTAATGGTGAACGGACTGATTTTGTGTTTACGTGGGTTATTATTTCCCCTTCTAAATGGAAGTAGGAGTGGTCTGGATGGATCCCATCACAGATTCCATCACCTTACTAATTTTCTTGGGAATTTGGGAATGAGTTAAGACTCCAGCACAGCACCAGCACAGCAGCACACATTACTAAATGGAAGATGCTACATTACCACTTCTGTTTCCTTCAAGATACGCCCCATTCCTTGTTGGGCTGGAGGTCTGATGCCGCAGGCCACTAGATGAGGACCCCCCTGAAGACATCTGGGCAGGACGATGGCTACAGGAGGAAGAGGAGCCTCCAGCAGGGTGCCCATCCGCAGGACTCTGACGCACGGTGTACATGGAGCCCATGGAGCCCAAGGCAGCGTCGGCAGGATCCGCACTGTACTGCTTCCTGCTTGGAGCATCAGCCAGGTAGTCCTCAGGTATAACTGTCTCTGCCCAGAAAGGCCAGACACAAAGTAAGCATCAGTAAAACAGAAACTTTTTAAATCAACCCTTGAAAAAAATTTTTTTAGCCGAAGTTCCCATTTTTTGTGACAAAGTGTAACTCTGTTATCAACTTTCTGTACAGACAGCTGGGCCCAGGAGAGATCCTTGCTGAGAATGAATAAACAGTGAAGGGAAACACAACCATTCAAAGTCAGTAGAGTCACAAGAGGGAAACCATGACTTGATATGAGTCATCTGTGTCAGCTTACAATATTATTTTCTGTAAAATCCTGGGCCACTTAGCCCAGGTCTGATTGGACACCTGGTGCTCCTCAAATACACCGAGATTAGCGGATTGAAAGGAAGGAGGCAGGGGAGGACAACAGGACAGGCAGTTTGTTAGGTTCAAAATGCCTGGCAGCCATTAGGAAGGAGTGAAGGTAATAAACCAAAGCATTCTGGCTGCAATTACCAAAATTAATCAGAAGCATCCTCAGCTGCAGAAATCCATCAGGCCCAGTATCCTGCAAGGACACAGGCTTGATGACTGATGAGCACACCCAAGGCTTTTCATGGACAGTTATGTGTGAGTCACTTGGACTTGACTCAAGTTCAAATGTGCCAACATCACAGACAACTGCAAACCATTGCTATGCTGGTTCCTGTCCTCTCCATTGCAATTTTCACATTATGCAGGAGTGAAATACCTTGCTTTTCGGATTCCTGGAAATAAAACAAATTTTGCAATTTAAGACCTGCTTTGCAGACTTACACTCCCCTGTGCTTGTCTAACACACAGACATGAGGCAGGTCTAGCTCCAGCTTTTGCAGGATGTAGGTATTTTTTTGCTATTTCCCCTCAGACTTAGGCTCAGGTTTGTCACTGACACTTCCATGCCTGTGTCACTGTCATCCTCCTCCAGTATCCATGTCTTTCCTATTGCCATTTTTTGGTCTTCACAAAAGATAGCCACAGGTCTTCCTCCTCCTTTTTCCCACTACTATTCTCCCTACAAAACCAGCCCTCCTGTCACCCAGCCCCAGTATCACTACTGGGGTACAAGCAGAGCCTTTGGAAAGCTCTATGAGATCCCAACCTTCACAGAAACCTTCTGGCAACCTGCTCTTTAGCGATTCCCACTCCCACTGGGTGTTAACACCTGGCAGGCACGGAGCCTCTAGATTAGAGAAGTGCCTTCCATTGCCTCATGACATTTTTCTGAGCTGTTGAAAAGGCCACTTTCCTCATCATGTGTACTCTCCCTCCAGAGACCTCCAAGCAGGGTGAAATTTCCCCCATGGTGTCACACATCAGCTTCCTGGCCTGAGCAACACATACTCCTCCTGATGTGTTATGCAGCCTTATTGAATAACAAGAAGAATTTATGCTGTATTTATGCCATAAGACACAAACTCCATTGATAATAGATGTTGAGATGTTGAATATAACAGAGTATTCCTTTTCATTTACATTTTCATTCTTTTCCTTAAAGAAAACAAACAACATTACTTGGCAGCTGTGTACCGTAGTTGATGTTAAATGAACATGATTTATCTCAACAACTCAAATACTCAGGAGTTGTGCCATCATCTTGGCTTGTGTGTCAGGCCACAGCACAGATTTTTGTTACATTGTTCTATTTTACTGCTTCTTTTAAAATTTTGTCCCATTCAGGGCCAAAGCTGGACTCACCATAAGGAAACCATCAAATTTGAAAGAAAGCTGCAAATGTGAAATTTTCTCGCTTTTGGGCATTTGCCTTTGCAACTGCAAGTAACTTTCCTTTAGCAAGGCTTTTTTCACTTAGATGATTTGGATTCTTACAGCATGCAATCAGGTGTCCTGCTGCTTTCTGCCAGGAATTTCTGAGCTTGATTCTCATACAAATACAGATAGGGTGTAATCCAGTTGAATTCAAGGGAGTTCAGATAACATAACACATAAGAGAAATGGGAATCAGACACTCTGAACCTTTCCTCCTAACCTCCAACAGATGCCAAAATTATATAGCAATTGAGCTAAATACCTTGCTTTTCAAACTCCTCCCAATAAACCAAAGAAAATCCAATCAAGCCTTCTCATTCAAAGGAATTTAATTACTGTGTAGAACACTTGCAATAAAAGCCTCTTATGCATAAAGAAGATGGCTCTTTCTGCAGCATCCTGCCTGCACTGCATGGAATAATTATGCCTCTTGTGAATCATTACCTCTTTATTCCAGGAAAAGAATGCTCTTTTAATATGATTACAATATGAAGAAGACATAGACTATCAAAACAACAAACAGCACATTAAAAGAGCCCTGCTAAACAAACTGCATATAGCTTTTATTGCCATGGATGTAAATTACTCCAAAATTTTTGAGCAGACACCAGGGATTTTTTGATGGATGCCAGACTGTCTCAACAGTCTGTGTGAAATAAGACATGTGCAGATACAATCTCCCAGTGGAAGGACACCCATGAATTGTGTACAAGACTACAAGGAGCCAATCTCTGTCAGATGTGTTCTCAACTTTGCTTAAGACTATTTTCTTGATCTAGAGCAATTTAGTCCACATCTCTGCTTTGGGCTCCAAAATGGGAGTAATGATGCCTATGGCCATGGAACAAGCTGGAGCCTCTGTTCCTTACATATGAAACATCTCCCAGTGGGAGGTGCTCTGGGAATTTGAAAAGTCATATTAATGTCTTCATTGGACTGAGGGGAGCAGGGAACGTCTCAAGTGACCTACTGCCCAAAAACTAAGGAACCCTGTGAAAGCTTTTGTGTTCCTATTTTTCCAGCTCTCTGTTAAATTGCACCACAGAGAAGCTGCATGACTTGAGGTTCCACTGATGAATAAAAATAAAACATGTGCATAAAAAAATATGCATTTTGTAAGCTCCCAGAAGGCTTTGTAAAGTGTATAGCCATCACAACTTCTAATCCCACTTTGGCCAATTAGGAAAAAAACACTATTTTTGAGACAATAGAAGAAAATATAAGCCTCTATTGGGGTTGAAAATGCAACAGTTCATAAATCTATAGCTTAGGTCTTCTGTATTCTGACTCACTTTCATATTTTATTTTGTAGGTAGTCAGTTCCACATATTAGTGTGAAACTAATACACAACGCTTTAAAGCAGGATTTATGAGAAAGCTGTTTTGAGCTTTTGCTCTGAGCACAGTAGTCTCCGTCACAACTGCTCACCACCCTGAGATGCTTAAGCCATTTTGGCAGTTTTCCTTTCCATGAATGGTCCACAGGCAGCTGGATTAAAAAGCCCAAGGCTGTTACATCCAGCACACCTTAAAATGCAACAAAGGAGCGAAAAATACATCAGTTGCCTTCCCAATTAAAAAATGTGCATTTCTTCAGCTGAGTTTCTTAAAAGTAGCAGTCTGTAAGATTCCTAGCCAAAATCCTGAAGATGGGTCAGCTGAGAGTTAAAAGAGCCTGAGAATCTGCAGCTAACATCCCACCTCTGCTGCAAAATTCTAGAGTGAACTTGCTCAGGTTATCTGTCATCTCTGGACCTCAGTTCCCCATTAGAATGAAGGAAACCACTTATTTTGTCTCTCATGTCTGTAAAATGTTGAGTTCTTTGCCCCAGCAGTACTCATTTGCCACTGCAGAGTGCCACATGGATGCATGCTGCATGTGTGAATGCAGAACACAAACACTGGGCCTTTGGTAGCATCTGGGAATAGAGACACTCCAGAAAGACAAAAGAATTTACTCTCATTGTACATTAGGAAAGCAAATGAAAATCAACTTCAAGTCAAGCAGGAAATGAAGAATAGTATATACACAGGAAAGATGATCCCTAGCTGACCTTTTCCTGAGCAGATCTAATCTCTGACTTTTTCTTCATCTTAAACAAAGCCCAAACTTAGTTTGTTAGAGTCTCTCCTACAGGCAAAATCTCCTTGTACACTCCAGAGACACTCTATTCTGCCTTCTCTGCTCCCAGACCAAACATGTCTTGCACTGCTTTCCTCACCTGCTGCTGCTCCCACATCACTGCTCATGGTGTGTCTTTCTCTCCCTTTACCTCTCTCAAGCTCCATTCCCCTATATCCCCACATTCTTCTACCTTTGTTCTTCCCTGCCACTTCTTCCTACTTCTGCCATTTTGCCACTATCTTGACTTTGTTCTAACACTGCTATCTGGCACCTAAATTTCCTACCCTTTCCCCATCTTGCCAGATATTTCCCTATATCTCTTTTCTATTTTCCCTCCTCCCACACATATGATCTTCTTAACCATTTTCTCCCTAGGCTGTTCCCCTTCCACCCATCTCACACTTTTATTGATCCAGATTTCCCTTTCCTGACACTCCCATGCCTTTTTCTGGGTTCATCCCCAGATTGCTGCTTGGACAGCAGAGCCCAAGGTCAGGGCAGGGAAGTGGGGCCAGAGTCCCTTTTCCCAATCAACAGGTATATATCATATCCTGCACAGCCATGAAGTGGCTGCATCTGGGTGAAGGCTGCCTGGGGCACTTTTGGAAACCCACACACCCTACTCTGAGCATGCTGGACACTGATCCCCAAGCCAGGGAGGTCCTCTTTTACATACCAGTAGCTTTCCAGGACAGCTGCCCTTCCTTCCAGGACAATAATGTCATTTCATAACCTTTTACTTTACCACCTGCAATGCTCAATCATTTGTATTTGCTTTAATTGAATTCCCCATTAAATTCTTTTCCTCACAGTCAATACAGATTTATTTCTATCTTTCTTTTCTCTGCCCCCACTATTCCTTTTTTTGTGTCATCTCCTATTCCTCATATCATTTAGTGATGGGCTTTGCCCTCTGACCCTTCCCTGTACCTTTTAAAGTGCTACCATATATTGTCTATAATGGGTTGACCAGATGTGAACTCCATATTTTAAGCAGCATGATATCATAGCTTCCTCAGACCTCTCCTTTCTCCCAGCCAGGGACAGCCTTTTTTCATCCCCCAGTCATCTTGAGAGGAGCCAGCTACAGTGTCAAAATCCTATCAAGGGGCTCCTTCTTTCTATGGTTTTATCTTTGCCTGTATTTTATAGTTCCTGAGCCTGTCTCCTGCTCCCAGCACAAGGATGGCATTTGCCCTGCTAGGGAGGTGGGAGGGGTGAGGGAGGAGTGGGCAAGGGGAGGGGACAGTTTTAAGCAGCAGCTTAGAAACCCTGCATCTCAGCCTTCATGAAAGGAAAAATAGAAGTGTGAAAACACAAAAAGCAAATGCTGAAATGCAGGAGGAAATCCTTCAGATGAGTTTAACTATCAGTTAAATCTAGCGAAAGCCAGAGGGGGAGAGAACAGAAAGGTATAAACAGTATTTAAGACTGTGAAAGATATGCCTTGGCTCTGAACTGCTAACTTCTGTTTTAAATATAAACTCTTGAAAGATTTTAAAAGATTTTTCCTGTGCTTTCCAAACAGCATCACACATTTCAGTCCAGTCAGGAATGTACCACAGCCCTTATCTTCCCTGCAGTTTGAGCCTGCATGCATCTATCTAAAGATAAGAGTCTCCTGTGATAGATTAAGACTTTCCAGCTCTGGCTGCTGTGATTTACTCTGGGATTACAGCACCAGCCTACTTCTTTTAGCTCCATTGCCCATCCAGACATGCAGCACGATGAAAATATGATGTCACCCCTTAGCAGATGTTTCTGTACCGTGTCAGCACCACTCTCTGGTGCATGCATCTGCCCCCTCCACATCTGGGCAAGGACCAGGCCTTTTCCACACCAACCCGTGGCTGCCAGGGTTTGGCTGGACAAGGAAGGCATTACGGGGAGTGACATCTGGCTTGTGGCAGCGGAGCCGAGCTGCTCGCTGCCTGCCAAGGCGGAGTGGCATGGAGACACGTCCCCAGGGAGTCACAGCATCCCTGAGGCGGCTGCAGAGAGGCAGTGGGAGAGCAGGCAGCCCAGGGCATCCGCCAACAGGGCCAGGGCTGTCACGCCTGTGGTTTTTAGTCTGTGGGAGAACATTTGCATGGGTTATAGGAACACACAGTTGCATCCACAGGGGAAAAAAAGGGGGGCTTAGTAGTCAGTCAGAACAGGAAAATGTAAATATGCGTCATTCACTTGTGAATGCAGATATTATGAACACTGAAACTATGGTCACACTGTGGAGATAAAACCTGAAATGAATTCTCCAGTCTGAGGCTTTACTGCACCATGTATCACCTAGCTGTGTCCTAGCTGCTAAAAAATATTTTGCAGTAACTGAAATGCTGAGCCCCACAAGGAGAAGCTGCCAGTCAGTTAACATCAAGAATCTAAATTTTTTAGAGAATTTTCCAAAATCCAATGTTGTCCTGATTAGGTCTTCAGCATAAGCAATAATTTTTTTCATTATTTAAACAATTTCCCTTGAGTGTTTGCAGCCCAGACAACAGCCACATTGTGCTTAATGCAGTAGAACTAGGGAATGAGACCAGCTGGGAACAGATCAACATGGTTTTATTTTCCAAACTGAATAAAAAGGTAGAGTAAATTCAAATGCTAGCTGCTGACAAATATATTAGATTTAATAACAAAAGATGCTCGTGTGAATAAATAACTCATTGAGAAATTTTTTCCATTTTCAAAGTGCTTGGGGAGGATTGAGTAAATGTATTTTGTTACAATAGAGAGGTTTTAGTCCTATGTCAAAGCACAGGCAAATTGTTTAGGCACACACAGGAGTGAAGGCAAAGGGATTTCAATGACACAGGGATCTAGGCTGTAGTAAAAGTCTTACTTTGGTCTCTTCCACCTGATTTCAGACCTGCTCCTCCTCTCTCTTCCCTTCTCCCTTGCCTTTATGTTATACCAAAATGTACATCATGAAAAGAAGATTTATCAGGGTTGTATAGTTTTGTGTCTTAGCACTGCGATGGCAGAGGGAGATGGGAGAGGCTGCGATCGATCTTTTCTGTTTCCAGCTTCTAGCGGTAGCTAGAGGGGTTTTTCTGTCAAGGTAGTTTATAATGCACTCTGTATCCCTATAAATCAGCATTGATAGAAGTCACAAAAAAGCTGTATACAGAATAGACTAGATGAAAATGACTGTGTTATTCGAAAATTTCAAGGTATTATATACTGGGATTCTCTGCAGATACTCAGTGCATTTCTGTTTTGCTACCACCATGATTAATGTCCCTTAATCATATTGCTTAGTGCTGGCTTAAAATATTTAACCATAGTTTTTTTATCGTTTGAAAAACAAATAATTTGAGATACAAGAAGTGAGATGTCTACAGCAAAATGCAACAACTGCAAAATAAGCTGTGTTTGCTCATTAATAATTATAATATTCTCACCCAGAAATTAGGTAGAAAGTACATATAAAGCATGAGCCTGTGCATGTGTTTGTATGCAGGTATCTTTTATAAAGTCTTTGCTTCATTCCTCCCTGCCCAGTGCTGCTGCTCTGCTGAACTTTCTGCTATTTCTTCTGCCATGTAAGTACAACATATATGAGCCCTGAAGTCTTAGTCCCCTTCACAAAACCTTTCTTTTCCTGTCTTCTCTGTTTCTGCCATCTCTGCCTGACCTCAATCCCAGCAGCTAGGAACTCACCAATCCCCTTTTGTTGAGCTTTTTTATCCCCTCCTCTTTCCATGATGCTACAGAGCCAGTTTCCCCCCACATCACTGCGCTGCACTGTGCCATGCTGCTGGGGAGCTGGGCTTACCTGGGACCCCATCCTAGGACTCATGCCCAGCCTCACTGCATTTTCCTTAAATCCGGCTTCTCTGATGAAGACCATCAAGCCACTGCCACCTTTTTGTTTAAGTCACTTCTGTAACATTTTCTTTTCCATGAAGAAACTCACCATAAAGAACCTGATTCCCTTCCCCAAGCCACCAGCTGCAGCTCATTTTCAGTCAGAGGATTTACTTCTCTTGCCCAGCTGCTGGTGATGCAACTCCTTGCCTTGCACCCTTACCTTGCTCACTTTGTCCATGGCCAGCACAAACACCAAATTACATGTCACCACCAACAATTTACTTCTAGTACTCTCTTAATTGCTTTAATTCCCTGCTTTGCACTCATTTTGCCAACAGATTAATGCTCTTTAGGCAGATGCTGCGTATTACTACTTTCCAAAAGGCATTTTGATGTTCTCTGGATAATTACTGCAAATAAATAAATCCTAAGGAGCTGGGGAGTGCTGTTGATTCAACAGTGGCCAAGACCTTTCAAGGAAAAATAGTGGATGTTTCATTTCCATGGAAATGCCTCTGTGCATGGGTTTCCATTTGTTTTGAAGTGAACTGGGAAAGGATAGAAAGAAATAGAAGGTGGATAAAGACAGATAAGGGAGGGATGACAATAAAAGGCTAAAAAAGAGAGCAACATGAGGAAATGTGAAAAACTGAGCTGAAAAATTCAAGAACACCCAATAAAAAAATCAGCAATGTCCCGTGAAGAAAATTCTGAATAGTGTTTGAAACCTGTCACATTGAAACAGCCTAAATACCGGATTCCCTTTCCCCACTCTCAGCTGTCTCTTCTTTCTGCCATGGAGGTACAAGCCCAGGCCTTGCCATACCAGGCAGCCCCAGAACCACCACATCCCAGGCAGCCGTAGAAGCAAGGGCTCTTTCACCCAGATTCACAAGCAGAAGTTCCCCTTTCTTCCAAAACCTTTCTTGTATTACTTAGTAAGTGCTGGATCTTGAGATTCACCTTTTTTCATGCTCACATCTTTGAAAAACCAGGTGAATCATATTGATTTGTGCTTGCAGCACTTGCATAGGTTTCCCATCACCAGTTCTGGCTTGTGGCTTGCTTATCTGACTGCTTGAAATACTGGTATATGTTATCACAGGTATTTGGATCAATATTTTAAAAGTTTAGGAATGAAAATTCCTGTTTCAGCTTTAATTTAAGCTATTTAAAATAAAAGCCTGGACTACTTCAGATATCTCTTAAAGGAATCATATAGCTCTAGGGAAAGGTCTTAACCAGCTAAAACAAAGTTAAAGCTAAACCTGGAGCTAAAATAAAGTAACAATCACATAATTTACCCGACTAGGGCTCCGAAAGTGTCCGTGCTTCCTCTGCATGACTGCTTGTAAAGCTTGAATTAAATGCATATACCCAGGGGTATTTTTTCTGTAGTGGATATGATCTCATCCATCATGCTTCATGTATTTATGCCCATCATTTAATCCACTTTCCTTATGCATACCCTTTGATACGTAGAAATAAAGCATCCTTAAATTCTGTTTCATAGCTTGGCTCTCTTTTCTAACCTCCACGGCTGCAGCCCAGGCAATATCCAGCACTGTTGGTGTCTGTGCCACAGTACTGAGCACATCTAGGGCTGAAGGACAAAAAGGCCTTTGGGCTTTTCCTTGCTCACTGCTGAGAGCAGAGTGCCCACCCCACCAGGCGTAGCTTTTCAAAAGGGATGAGCTTCCTTGCAGCCCCTCAAGTCAGTGAAGGTAAAACAGCCCAGCAGAATGTGGGAAGGAGGATTTCCCTGGGCTGGCTGCTGAAGAGATGTCTGCTTACAGCTTCATTGCTTAGCATCCACAAAGAGATACAATTTCATAAACTTAAAGGAAAAGAAAGAGAGTCTTCATTTGTGAGTTAGCAAACAATAATCTCACAACTTAAAGGTCAGAAAGTTCAATTTATTCAAGTCTGCCAATTTTATAGAGACCAGGCAAAATACATCACAGCTGAATTTTCTCTCTTCCATCCATCTCTTATTTTATTTCCTGCCAGGATTTGCTCCTTAGTGTACATTTTATTAGTTTCCTCTGATTCAGCCTGAAAGGCTCTGAATGCTGAAGCCGTTGCTACCACCCTCATGAAACCCCACCACTGGAGCACTGGCTGGTTCTCTCTTTTGTTCCAACTCCAGCTGCAAGCAGGACCTCAGAACCAGGGAGGGAGGGAGGGAGGGAGGAAGGAAGGAAGGAAGGAAGGAAGGAAGGAAGGAAGGAAGGAAGGAAGGAAGGAAGGAAGGAAGGAAGGAAGACTATCCCAGCCTTTCTCAACTGTACTGCAGGCTATGTCATGAATCCCAAAGCCCCAAAGACCATATAAACTTTTTATATTATACTTTGTTGTGGCTGGATGTCTCTGCTCCCTCTTTAAGAGTGACCTTAATGTTTTATTTATTGTTTAAAGGATAATGATCATGGTAGAGGAATATATGAGGCAATAAATGGCCTTTGCAGGTAATTAAATGCTGAGGAGCGCTGAAGCTATTGATAGCCATAAAAGCCATTTATTTTGAGTGTACTGAGAAGCCAGGAGCACTGTTCCTCATAGCATGCAACAAGACAAGTTTAAACAAGCCATGGTACTAGAAAGGGGAGAGACAACATTTTTCTTACCCTCTCAGGGCTTGAAACTTCCAAGCTGCTGTTTATTTGGTGCTTGCAACAGAAAATATTGATTGTAATAATATGTGGTTTTCTATCATATTATTCTTTTTCTTCCCTAGCTGTTTTAGAAGGGTTTTGCACATGTTGGCTTTGCATGTTTGCACATGCAGCCAAGTTCTATGTGGAGACATCAGCTGTCTAACAGCACAAAATAGCCAAAACCCAAGGTTTGGGACAGAAAGAGCAAGGAAAGGATTGACCGAAAAGGAAAGTGTATGTTTATCAAACTTAATGCTTCTCACATGAGAGAAACTCCTTCCATTTCTGTGCCTACCATCAGGTTAGCCAGAAGTATTTTAGCAAACACGGTTTCCTCTGAAGAATAATCTAATATCTCATAGGTGCATGTCAACAGTATGTAGATGTCCTAGAAATGTACCTTTCACATGCTCCCATCCAAGCCTCCATTAGCTGAGCATGAGACAAATGAAATCTGAACACAGAGTGGAGGCACTTTACAGGATCTCTGTTGGCTTCCCATCATTTAGCCCCTGCCCCAATTTCCCAGGGTTTTCTGCACAGGTCACCCAGGTCTTGCCATCATTTTAGCTCAAACTGCTCTGCCGCTCCCATGGAAAATTTTGGGGTGCAGGTCCAGAGGTGCTTTGAACCCAGGTGCTGTGGTGGCAGGTAACATCTCAGGATTTGCTGTAATGCAGACCAGAAGCTGGGCGTTTCCCAGAAGGCCTGGGAGTCATCCCACAACTGCTCCCCACAAATCAGTCTCAGGAGTCAGAAAGTCCCTTCACAGCTGAGAAAGAGCCCTGGGAATGTCCCATGTGAAGCATGAGACAGGTGAGGAGCCTTGGCAAAGCAGGCAGAGCGTGGGGCTCAGGTGCAGGGAGGGTAATGCACGGCCAACAAGGCTCATTGCAGAGCCCAGCTCTAGGCACAGCCTGATGAGTGTGCACTTCCTAGCCATGTAAAACATAGTTGTAAGTGATATATGCATATGTCAACAAATCCCACCTGGCCTGTACACAGCCATTAGCATCTGGCAGCTTGCTGTGAGCACAGGTGAGTTATGGCTTCGGGGCATGTGCTTTGGGGCAAGGTTAACAGGTGACTCCTGTGCGGGGTAAGCGGATTAATATGACTGGACACGATGCCGGCTTCTCCTCTCCCTTCTGATGGTGTAAATCAAGAGTAACTGCACCAAAGTCAATACATGGATGAGATTCATTGGTGCAAAGGGGCTGAAAAGCACATGATTTTAAAGGAAAGGACATCTTGATTACAAGATGGGGAACAGAAACAATGAAAAATGTGGCTGCTTTGCGTGGCTTCCTGTGGTGCTTTTTTATGGCCCTGCTCCTTCCATGCGAGCTTTATCCCAACAGGTGCCCTCACAGACTTGTCTGCAGCAGAGCTGCTCCTTGTCACGGCACTGTGGGAAGCCCTGTCTGTGCTCTGTGCAGCAGAGGAACCCCCATGCTGACCTTGCTGCAGAGAAATGCTGGCTCCTGGGGGGATGGAAGAAGATTTAGGCAATACAGCATTAAAAATATACTCAGTGCCTCAAACCAACCTAGCCTTGAACACTTCCAGGGATGGAGCACCCTCAGCTTCTCTGGGCAACCTCTTTCAGTCCCTCACCACTCTCACAGTAAAGAATTTCTTCCTCATGGCTAATCTAAACCTACCTGACTAGTCCATGCTGCTTCAGGGGGGCTATTGATTGCACACACACACACACACACACACACACACCCTACAGTGGGAAACCCAGGAAAGAAGCCTTGCCTACACCCACATCTCTTGTCTAGTCTGAGGGAAAAATAATGTTTTGCCCATCCTCAGTGTCTGGGGAGATCCAGTGAGGATGGTGTCAGGGACATCTGCATTGGAATTTTGTGGGATGCTCAGAGTATAACAGCAACTGTAAAAACTCTGGTTGTGGAATTGCCTTCTCTCACACACAGCCCTGCCGTGAGAAAGTAAATGCAAATGTACATGCAAATTAAAATGCAAATGAAAACACAAATGCCAGGCCTCCTGGGCTGCACTCGCTCGGTGCTACAGAAATCCCTTGACCTCTTAGAAGCATTCAGATTGCTGCAAATGTCGTAGTAGAGAGGAAAGAAAAACACTGTTCTTCAGTCTGGGCTCCTACCTTTCTTCCCCTATGTGTAAATGTGGCAGTTGGATTTCTTTGTACAAAAAGATTATTTCTGCACCGTGTGCACAGCCCTCTCCCACCTTTAGTCAGCAAAGCACACACTGAGGGTATTCTTGGTGAACAAGTGATTCAAAATTGTGATTGTGGACATTAAAACATCTTTCTCTCATCTGCCAGCATGTATCTGCCATTAAATTGAATGCATGAGAGACAGTGTCCTCCCCAAATACCCACAGTGTTGTTAATAAAAGAAAAGGAAAAATAACTTAATTCAGGAGAAGGACTGCAGGTGAAATGAAGGCTCATACCCATAATTTACATCTTTCTTTTTTTCTAAACTAGCTTTTGCAATGCCATAGTAAGGCCCCAGGGCAGCGTTCCAGCCTCTGATTGCGGACGGGGCTGCAGGCATGTCCCAGCTCCGTGGGGGCTGTGTGGGGCCAGCACCCTCTCCCAGAATAAAAACAAGAAACAAGCTCAGAGCTACCATCCATCTGGGAGCTCAGTGCCGCCCAGGGCAGGTGCCCCTCAAGACCACCACCATCCTTGGATGCATCTGCCTCATGCCAAGCTCCTCCAGGCTTTGCCCCACATGGTCAATCACTAAGACAGGGACCTTGCTGGTCCTGAAGGGTTTTAAGCTAGGAGAAACATCCCTGCAAGCAGTAAAGCAAACCACTTAGCAGTCACAGCTCATTTTATACTCAGGGGTGGAGGTGGCAGATTGGGATCCAGGCTGTCTGAGCTACAGCTAATAATATGTACCTCAGGTTTGTGCTACCATAACGAACATGCTGGCCCAAAATTTCTCTGCTGGCACCTCAACATGGTGGTTCTCACTCAAACACCTCCTCTATAGCCACTGGGAAAATACCACAGGTAAGCTCACTGCCTCCCTCTGGAAGGGTCCCACAGAAGCCTGCAGTTCCCTATCATACACAGCACAGCACCAAAAGGAGACAGCTATTTCTTCAGCTCGATTACATCTTGAGCCCAAGGTGATCAAGCAGCCTACCTGCCTCCATCCGCCTGTTTTCAAACCCCTCCGGGCTCTCCGTCGCGGCGCTGTGCTGCTGGAAAGGCTGGTTGCTGAAGAGATTGTCACACAGGAGGCTGTGACAGAGCTTCTTCAGGAAGCGCAGGACGTACCCGATGCTGTTCACTACCAGCAGGCTCTGGAGATGCTGCTTCCCCTCAAAAGAAGCTGAAACTGGAAAGCAAAACAGGAGCAATTCAATACCTGCATGGTGGAAGGGAGAATGAGAGCAGGGGAAATAATTTTACTCAAGCATTTGCATATCCTAAAATATATTGCAAAATTACCCTACCTGAGGCACATAACAAACTAGAGGAGCTTAAGGAGCTGAGTTTGTGTGACCCAGATCACCTTCCCCCTGGAGAGCTGAAAGATGCTGACTGGCATGGCCAGCAGTGAAAGATTTTCTAATATATGCATCCACCTGCAAATTGTGTTGTGTGATTAGAAGGAGGCAATCATGATACCCTGGTCTAAGGAAGGGGAAAGAAAGTGATATGCAGTGATCACCAATAGTGATGGGTAGGCTGACTTCAACAGTTCCTAAAGTTTTAAAAGATAATGGGGACATAAGAATTAAAGGCATGGCTGTGAATGAATGAAAGGTACCAGGATTGTATTAAAGAGAGAGGTAACAGCTTCATCACTGATCTTTATTTACTGAGTTAACTGCATTTATAGGCAAGGGAATGTTGTGGTCCATCCAGAATTCAGTAAAGTATGAGAAATCTTCCATTAAATTGGAAATGACTGCATACGAGAGGTGAGTCAAGAAATGGCAACAGGCTCTGCTGGCAGGAGACCCCAAGTCCCAGAGAGAAACCAGCAGCAGTCTGTGCTGGCACAAAGAGATTTTGTGGATGCTGTAATCTGGCAGACATCATCAATAGAGGAAAGGTGTGGGAGATTGCACAGAAAGAGTTGACGGATTTTGGCTTCCATGATAGTAAAAATTAGTAAAAAAATCTGGAAAATAAACATATCAAATGTTTAGAAATCCATAACTCTTTGAAGAGGCTCAAAACAACCTGGTGGGACAAGAAATGATAATGCAAGCTTACCAGATGCCCATAAAACAGCAAGGTGATACAGTCATGAAAAACTCAGATATATTTCCAGAAGGTGTGGAGCAAAATACTTCCAGGAGAGAAAATGGAGTATTAAAGCCACTATATAAAGTTCTAAAGAAACCTGATATGGATTGATGGGCGTCATTGTGGTCATACAGGCTCAAGAAGGGTGAGTCCACACTTGCAGAAGTGCACAGGCAGCCACATTGATGTCTGGGGGACAGAAATTTTCCCTGTGGCACTGCAGCCACCACCATCCTGCTATGTGGGACTGTGGCAAGACACTTGCACTCCTTTCACTGGTGCAGTGATCTTCTTAACCTGAAAGGAACTGTGTAGTTCAGCCTAGCAGGATGAGGGTGGCTCTCTTCGAAATACATCTAAGGATAAGAACAGGGCAGCTAAAATTCCAGTATAAACCTGTCAGAGGGCATACTGAGCCAGGAATCACAAAAAGGGCATAAGGCCCCAACCATGGAGAGGTGGAGCAGTCAAAACAGACCCACCAAGATCAGCTGTAGCAAGGCACATTCAATTTCAACAGGTTTGCAGGGAGGACATCATGGTATGGCTGCCTGAACTCTTCCACCTGGAAGGTTCTTTCCAAATTCTACTGTCTCCCATCACTACCAACAAGAAAAAATTGCAACATTAGACTTATAATTTTGGGGATAACTTCAGAGATTTCCTGTTGGCCTGAGCTGCTGTGAGGGATCATGCTCCACAGCTGGTTGAGCATCTGTGAGCCAAGCCATGGGACAATTGGAAAGCCCCTGACAAAACTCATCTGCACTGCTGGGAGTGAGGTGCAATTGCAGAGCCACGCCATGACAAGGAGGCCATTCACCCCTCTTTGATGAATAGAAGGACCATGAAATTGGGAGAAATGTTGACCAGGTGCTTTTAGTTCAGGTGAAGCTGAAGCTGAGCCAGCTCAGAGGAGCTAAGACCAAGGATTTTGGCAGGCTTGGTGCATAATATGACTCCCTTGATTGTAATGAAAATCATATATGCAGCACAGAACTAGGCAAAAATGAAACTTTGCACTGAATTGATTCAGTCTTGTGTTTCTGTGAACAAGTCTGGATCATTCTCAGAGTATTTTTGGTGTCCCTTAGGGAAGATGCACCTGTGATTACAGAGAACTTGAGGAGAGGGAAGAAGCAAGATTTATATGCTGCACAGAGGGCCAGAGCTTGGGCTCCCACACAAGAAGGTCCCAGTGGCACAGCTGAGCATCTGCAGTCCCTGCAAAACTGATTGGACTTGCAATCCTTGGCTTTGTGTTTGTGCCTGACTCATCTGCAGCAGCTCATTGGAGAGTGCCGTTCCCATGTTCCCATCATTGTTTCATTCCCACTGCATCCCCATATGCCAAAAAAATGTGACACAAAACTCTTGCTGTGATAGAAGAAAAGTTCACGTTCACTCTGAGAACCAGGGGACTCATTGTGAGACATGGGAGGTTCATCAGGACACAGCAAGAAGTGCCACTGCAGGAAGACAAGGAGCTCCTGGGAAGTTCCCCTTGGTCTTTGATTCTCTCTGATGAATTTGAGAAGAGTTTGTGCAGTCCTGCTGCATGGGGAATTGCTGTGGGACTCCTGCAATTCCTGCAGCAGAGAGCAGGTTTGGCTCATGAACTGCAGGCAGGGGACACACCAACAGCTAAACTCCATAAAAGTTGTCCTTTCATGAGACACAGAATCATAGAGTTATAGAAAGATTTTGGCTGGAAGGGACCTTTACAGGTCACTTAGTCCAACCCTCCTGCAATGACCAGGAACATCTTCAGCTAGCTCAGATTGCTCCAATACCCATCCAACCTGACCTTGAATATATCCAAGTTTGGAGTATCCACCACTTCTCTGGGCAACTTATTCCAGAGTTTTGCACCCTCATCACATGAGGCATGCATGTGTACTTGTGGTGGCAATGCGAGTCACAAAGTGGGCTGGCATTGCTGCCCATGCTTGAACAGCTGCATGAAAACAGCTGTCAGCCCTGGCCTCAGCACTGTTCCAAAGAGTGGTAAGGCAGACTCTAGAGTTCCTCACCTGAATCACCACTGCAAACCCCTTACCAACATTCTTTCACCTGACACCGAGGTGATTCCTGCAGCAGCTCATTTTGCAAAGGCATAAGTGATATTCAAAGCTGGTTGCCATCCGACTGATGGGAACGGGACATCCAGGGCAGTCGGGATTAGAGAACATGTTAAGACTTCAAGCACTTCCCTAGTGGCCACAAACCCCTTACAAGGATGCTTTACCTGACACCATCTCGCCTCCGTAGCCCTGCCTGATGAGGGAGAAGACCACCTTTTGCTGGAGTGCACAGTTGATGCAGGCTTGCACTGCTTGCTGCAGGGCCACCGCCGGCCGCTCCGGCCCAAAGTGCTCTGGCAGCTGCTGCACCTTTTTTCTGTCAAGGTACGGCCCCAGGTTCGCTTGTTTGTTGACATAAATGCAGACTGTAGACATAAAATCCCAACAAGGTTATTACAAAACAGGCCTGGGAGCATCCTAGGAAATGCTAACATTCTACATTCCTATTCATTTCCCAAGTTCTTCCTTCACTGGTGAATTGTTGCCATTTGTGATGGCAGAGCCAGTCTCCCTTGTGCTAATGACCCATTGCCAGGGCAAATCAAGTTTAGGTCTAGCTCAATGTCACAGGCTACATACATCTAAAAAAGCTCCTATATGTGCCTAGGGTCTGTTGTCTTGAGTCTACCTTGTCCATACAACTTGTGACCAGAAAAATGTTTTGGGAGTGCAGAACAGTGACTAGCAGCGCTGACTTCACAGCAAGGAGGGAATGCCAGCCTGAGGCGTGTTTTCAGATTGTTTATTTTTTTTCCCTCTGTTTTTAGCCTGGTTCATTGAGAGTTGCTGTGAGAAGCACTGCTCTGAGATGACTTTTGGAAAGCCTTTGGATCCTTGCTTCTTCTAACCCAGCTGTAATTTCTGGAGGGTTATGCTGCACAGTGCCATGGCAGAAATCTGGTCTTTGGGAGCTTCCTAACCCTCCATGTCCAACCTAACACTCTACAAACTGCATCAAGTTGAGGGAAACTTGTGCATGGTGTGCAGTGCTATATTTTGGGACTGCAACAATGTGACTGTGCTGCAGAGGGGTCTGTGAGGGAGTCTGACCTAGCCCCTCCACAGCTAAACCCTCCGTGCCTCCTCTCATAAGCTGCAAAGGTAGTTTTTCTACATGCCGTTAGACCTGCCAGCAATAGCCCAAAAAATGAGTGTTCTCCTCACTACCATGAACTTATTTTAAGCTTGGCTGAGGCTAACTGCATCTCAGGGGAAGCAGGGATAGCGCTGGGTAACTAAGGACGACTAAGACACAGCCTAAAGTCAGGCTAAAGTGAGACATATTATAATAGCTGGCTGAGTGTGCTCAAGCTGTCATCTCTCAAACAATATAACATTATCTTCTGACAGAAATCAGATACGTGACAAAAAAACCCCATCAAGCAGAGTGGAGGACATGATGACAGCTGTGTAAAGTTGGAAATAATTTACAGTTTGCATCACCATAATGAAAATCTAGTGCAACTGTCACAGTGCACTCTGCTCCCCCACCTTGCAGGGACCAGCAGAAGGGGCTCAAGCAGTACATCTAGGGTAAACAGGAGGATAATAGCAATCATACTTATCATTACACCACTTCACACCTTCCAAGTGCCAGACAAACGAAGTGATAGTGTACTGAAAATGCAGCAGCAGTATGCAGGAATTGTAGGGGGATGTCAGAGTGCAGCTTTCCCAGAGTGCCACACCTTGACAAATCTGCAGAATGCGGCTTCTGCATGACAATCCACTGGTTTTGTAGGGGCTCAGCTATGGGAGGCACTCTGCAGCTTGCTGAGTCCCCCACTGCAGGGTCCCTACAGTCCTTCTGAAGCAGAGAGGGAGCTAAAAGCTGGCTTGAGCTTCCCTTCACCTCCTGCCAGCCCCTCTCTGGTGGGAACCTGCACTGTTGGGAGGGTGCTGGGAGGAAAGGTGCCAGTGGCATGAGGATGGGCAGACAGAGGTGTGGGGCACTGTCTGAAATGACCCATGCAGCCCCTACTTTTGCAGGGGTGATCTGGCAGGGCTGGTGGGCTGTGCCTCCCTGTCCCACTCCAAAAGCAGCCTTGGGCACAACCTCTCAGGGCACTTCCATCCACTCAGCTGGTGTTTGCCAAGTGCTTTGCAGACTTTGTGTGTGAAGGGATAAACAAGAATAAAATATATTATTGTCATTGTTGCTGGGTTTAGTATCATTCTGCCACCAGAGCAGATGGAAAACTTCTCCTCTGTGCATCCCAGCTAAGAAATAATGGGATTTATGTGTTGTGTTTAGATTCTAATGTTATCTAATCCATTTCTCTGCTGAAATCTCAGGGTAAATCAGCTGTCTTGTTGATTTTCTTCTCATTTACATCAGTCTAAAAGCCTTGACCTATGTTACTTCTGGTAATATAAACAAAAAGAAGGAGTAAGCCTGTGTTTTCTGACTACATTTGGAAATGACCATGCCTGCTGCTGTGATAAGGCATTGGGGTTTTTGTGCTGGTAGCCCTGCCTACAGTCAGACCATGGCTACTCCATTCTTCTCCCCCCCAGCTGTAACAGATGCTTCATGTTCACACAGGGATTTAGGTTGGTCATTGCAACATATTAGATGGGGTGAAAATGTTAGGTATAAAATGGAGCATTCATGGGGTTTTGATGTTCACATTTCAAGAGCAACGGGACTGACATCTCCACTAAACTCAACACACGGCAGTCAAAATACAGTCTTGCAGGATAACTCTGCTCCTTGTCACTGATTGCTAGACTATCTGGGAACACCCCATTTCCACAAGCTCCCCCATTTCTGGAAAGCCCAGCATCTGGCTGTGACATCTGGCTGTCAGCCTGTGGCTCCTGCTCACCCCTTGGTCCAGGAGCACTTGAGGCTGAGTACCTGTGAGAGCCTGTGGGGTGTCCGAGTCGGGTACCGTAGCTGCATCCTGGGGGATTGAGCTAATATCCGGCTCTGGCGTGCTTCTCGGTGGAGAGATTGCTAAAGGAGTCATCAGGACACGAGATTTCAGCTGCAAAAAATAATGAAAGTATACACAAGATATTCCAATTTTATTCTATGTATGTCACACCCCATGAACTCCCCCTCATTAGCAATCTGCTATTGCATCACTTTCTCCAGGCCAGAAGATCCATCCTGGTCCCAGGAGGATACTGGAGCCTGAAGCCTGACTGATTTGCTGCAGACAGCAACGCCTTAAGCTACAGGATGCAAATATTATGCCACCCACTGGGTAGTTATTTACACCTGAGCAAATTGAGCCTAACACTCCAACAAATCAGTGCAATGGCATTTTACGACCCATTTCATGTGGGTGTAAACAATGCTTCACAACTCAGAAGCATGGGGTCTTTAACTGCATCATAATTTAGGGCCAAATTCTGCTCTTGGTTGCAGGGCTGTAAATCTTGTATAAATCCAGTGGCACCAAGAGGCTACTCTGAGCTGACACCCATGTAAATAAGCTCACACTGTGGCCCAGGTTGTATTATTACCAGCTAGTAAATACAAACTGCTGCACTGTTGCACCCAGTGATCCTTGCGACCTGCAGCCCAGCTTGGAGAAGAGAAGCATGATGTGAATTTATGGTGCAATATCAGAATGTCTTTATGCTGCCGGTACCTGACAACACCTCACCAGTCAAATGATGATCAGGTCCTCATATTTAAAAAGAACCAATGTGATGGATGTGACCTGAAGGTACCATTCTTGCTTTCCTTTTGCTAAGAAGAGAAGTAGGGGGAAAGCAGAAAGCCAAGCACACAGCTTGCTGGTTTATATATTTACATACCCTACACCAAAATGCTCTTCTGACAGGTATTTATTTCCTTTTGTTGTTTTTCAGTGGACAATGTACAAAGTATATTTTAGGTAGAAATGAAGTCAGACCAACTGCCTACAAACCAAACCTTGAGCAATCCCTGATGGAGAGTAGTTGTTTTGGATTAAGATTTTTGTTGTCCATGACTATGAACTACAAATGTCTAAAATAATTGTCACTATTTCAGCATACTGGTAAAAATAGAAAGCTGGGGAAAGGGAAGGGAAGTATGTAAGACTTAGGGACATCTAAGTGACTTTTTACCTCCCCTGAGGCAGTGAGTTTTTACCTATCCCTTTTGTTTTCAGTCTGAAAGAGGGAAAAAAAAATCAGTAAGTGCTTCTGAGACAAGCTGTGTATTTGGCCTCCTGCTGTACGGCAGTTGTAGAGCATGAGGGACCCTGAGCTGGCCCCTGATTAATGCCATTTCTCACTTGCCTTCGTTGTCATGTTTTTGTAGAGTTGTACTGCCTTCAGACTGGGATCAAGAATGACCAGCAACAAAGTGTTGTCAGTTTGTTTTCACAGAATCACTGACTATGCTGAGTTGGAAAGGACCCACAAGGATCATCAAGGCCCTGCACAGGACCATCCCCAAGAGTCACACCAAGGCCCTGCACAGGACCATCCCCAAGAGTCACACCCTGTGCCTGAGAGCATTGTCCAAATCCTTTTGAACTCTGTCAGGCTTGGTGCTGTGACAGCTTCCCTGAGGAGTCTGTTCCAGTGCCCAACACCCTCTGGGTTGAGAACCTTTTCCTAATATCAAACCTAACTCTTCTCTGACACAACTTCAGGCTATTCCCTCAGGTCCTGTTGCTGCTCACCACAGAGAAGAGATCAGTATTCTCCCCTCCTTTTCCTCTCATGAGGAAGTTGCAGACTTCAATGAGGTCTCCTCTTAGTCTCCTCCAGGCTGAACAGACCAAGTGACCTCAGCTGCTCCTCATACAGCTTCACCTCAAGGCCCTTCATCATCTTCATTGTCCTCCTTTAGATGCTCTCAAATAGTTTAATGTCTTTCTATATTGTGGACCCCAAAACTGCCCCCAGCACTCGAGAAGAGTCCACCCCAGTGCAGAGCAGAGCAGGACAATCCCCCTTTCCCAGCTGGCAATGCTGTGCCTGGTGCCCCCCAGGACACCACTGGCCCTCCTGGCTGCCAGGGCACTGCTGGCTCACATTCCACTTGCCACTGACTAGGACCCCCAGGTCCCTTTCCAAATATAGCATCTACACCTCCCCTAGCACAACTTGAGTCCACTTCCCTTTTTCCCTGTTGCTGGTTGTCAGGGAGAAGAGACTAACCCCACTGGGCTACACCTTCCTGTCAGGTGGCTGTAGAGATTGAAGAGGTTTCCCCCAAACCTCCAGGCTAAACAAGAGCAGCTCCCTCAACTGCTCCTCATAAGAGTCCTGCAGACTCTTCACTGGCTTTGTTGTCCTTCTCTACAGGTTCTAGCAATGCTTATGTGCTCGCACTCTTACATTTCTCTATATAGATATTGTTTTTGAGACAGTACACCTGACACATTCTGCTTCATTTGAATGTTGGCTCCTTAATATCCTTACTGGCTCACATTCCTGGGGTCCCAAACAGAGCCGCAAAAGTCCCATCTTCAGCCCCTGAGCCTCATGAGTGTGTGCTGCCCCACCAACACTGTGCAGTGCCTCACCAGCATCATCAGACATTTTCCCCTCCTGGATCTTGGAGGCCCAGGCAGACTTATTCTCAAGAGTGAATAAACAGAGGGCAAGGCTTGTATAAACTCTGTAGTGAGGAAGCCTCTTTCTTTGTTTGTGGAACCCCCCCTGTTTTTAGTGAACAATTTACTGCAAAATTAATTGCAATAAAATGTGCTTTACAGTCTCTGGGTACAGATAAATGTAATTTTATTAGGGGTAGTAGAGAACTGGCCTTTGTTAGATCAAAATGAAACAGTGCCTGATTAGTACAAGGGACAGTACACTAAACAAACAACAGCTTAGCTACCTCCTGGCCACTGAAACCTTGAGTAGTCCCTGAATATAATGAAGGGTAAATCTTAAAGTATTCAATTTAAAGATGTCTTTTCTTGGACTGAGTCTTCTCTATCGAAAAGCCAACTCAACTAACCAGCTGACTGACTGAGAGCTTGCCAGTAGAAAGCACATATGTGTGGGAATCAAAAAAAGCAGTGAAGAAGAGAGAAAAGAGAAAGAAAAAAAGAGACAGAGGAAATGTGTCAGAACACATTGGGAAATCCTTGTGGTAAGGCATTGGAATCAGTTTTTGAATATCAAATGTCGTGAATTTTAATATGCGCAGCATGAGATGTAAAAGTGGTTGCTCTAAAACAAGATCTACAACCAACCTCCCACTCTTATGGACTTTCTACAATGGAATTGAGATCAGAGAAAGCTGATCAAGGATTTTGGGTAAGAAATAAGTGTGTCTACTTTATCAAAGTCACCATGCATTAGATGGAGAGAGAACGGGCTTTTGTACCATTGATGCTGGCTACAAGTTTGTGGCTGGGGATGGGGAGGACTCTGCTAAGTCCTGGAGTTTTTATTACAGTCTGCACACCTCCTCAGAGAAGCCAGTATTCATCTAACTGGTGTTTATGTCATCCCCCACCAGAAAAATGAAAGAGGCTGAAGAACATTTGCCAGGCAACTTTTTTTCTTTCTGAAGATATTTGCAAGCCTGTATAATAAAATACACAGGAAAGTAACACGATGAACCACAATACAATCTTTCCCTGCAGTTTTCTTAAACCACTTAGATGCAGGTTCTCATTTTTATCACTCCCTTCCCTTGTACCAGTGTCCCTTGTCCTGAAAAAACAATTGCTTGAAAAGGCTGGGATTCACCCCATCCTCATGGACCTTTGGTTCTTCCAGACAGGAGGGCAGGGGCACCTCCTGGCAATGAGAGCTTTTGCTGCCAGAGAGAGAACCATCTCCAGCCCCTGCAAGTGTGCACTAAGGTGAGTGTCTGAGCCAGCCTGGTCCTGCCATGTGGAATTTTGATGGCTGGACAGAAGGTTGCCATTAAACATACACCAGGGAAGCACAGAGCTTCTGAGCACATGTCTTGGGGTCTTTGGCTCTGTGCATTTGGCTGTGAGTGAAGAGACTCAGGATAACACAAGCCCAGTCACTGAGGGAGAGAGGGGAGGTCAGCCGGCAAAGGCAAACGCAGTCCAAGGTCTTTCCCACCTTTTCTTCTTGTGTTGTGCAATAACTTTCTTCTGCACAGCAAATGAGGCAAGCCAGCCTGCACACAGCCTCCTACATCCCACCAGCGTTTCACAGTGAATGAGGCAGGTAACCTTGACAGGAGCATATACAACCTTGAAATCCAAGGCTGTATCATAGGACAGGTGAATAAACAGGACACATTAAGGTTGTCTGTGCAATCTCATTCCCAATGTGTCCAAAGCCTAATTGCTTGTTTATCATCATTAATATTGACTTCTAGGGCAGCAGGGTAACCTATGGCCCATAATGGAAACTGTCACTCCACACGTGTGACTCTCGCTGCTCACCCCACCTGATCTGGGCTGGGGCCACCTCCCCAGGTGGGAGCTGCACTGGTTGCACAGAGGGACAAATTGCCCTAAGCTGCTCAAAGGGTGCCATGGCTTTGTTGCCCTCTGGGAAGGACATGATGGTCTGTTCTGCAGTGCTGCCCTGTGGGTCTCAGATTCAGTCAAAGAAAGAAACTGAGAATTTCTAGCCAGGCAAAAGCCTGGAAAAGAACTGGAGAAGAATGTAAATAATTCTTTATCTCTCTTCTTTTTCACATTGTTTATAGTTAAGTTCTATCACTGTGCATCAAGCACTTCGCACCAATAGTGTAGGTTGTTTTCACTTCAAAACCAATAAAGTTAGTCCTCAAAAAGCTCTATATAAAAGGGAAATAAATTTTGAAAAAATTGGAGTTTTACTCTCACAACCTTCTAAGTCCAATCTCTTTATTCCTGTCCTACCTCAACAGCAACCCTGCCCCATGCACGTGTCCCTCCGATGTCCTCTAACAGGGCAAATCCCTGCAGGGTGCTAACAAACCCTTCCCTTGTACAGGCTTTCCAGGCAGCTCTTCAGGGCTGCTCTCACTCACAGCCAGAGAAATAAAACCCAGCTATCAACTCAACCCCCCCGCCCAGGCTGCCAGAATAGGCTTTTTCCCAGAGATTTAGACAATCAGAAAGGATATTGCATTTTGGGGAAATGTAACATTTTATGGCAAATAGCTCCACATAAGGTACAAAACAGTTTTTGGAAAAACAGCTGATGAAATTTTATAGCCAAAGCTGTGAGAAAATAAACAGGATAGCAAGGAAAAGACTTTTCTTGGTGATGAAGTGTGATGAAATGTCATTTCAGGAAGACACAGATATTTGCTTTAATATCAATGAAAACAGGCAAAGGGTCACCTGCCTATAAAGAGCATGTGATTGAAAATGTCTGTAATTCAGATCTTGGTCAAAATAAATTTAAACCTAGGCTGTAAATTCCTAGTTTTTTAAAAATTCAGAAGTATTTTTCCATCTGTTCTGTAACAATTCAGTTCTCTGGCTGCTATAAAGAATTTGGTTGTCTGCCATTTGGGCAGGGAGTAATTTTTTAAAATGCATTTAAGTCTTGTGGTATCTGAAAGTCATACAATTACCAAGCTAATTAAATCAAGCTAGAGTTCCCCATCAAAAACTGTAATTTTTGACTCACGCTGGGGAAGTGCTTTGGATGGAGAGTGGCTCACTTCAGCTGAGCACACAGCGTACAAAGGCACCTCAGGGAAAATGTTGCTTCGATGTTCAAGTTCTACAGAGCAAATCAACCAGGCCAGATGCCATGGGTGCTGCAGCTCATCAGTGTCTGCTCCATCCACCTAAGCCATTGCTTACAAAAGGATGCCTTTTAATGTGCCACACTTGCCAAGAAAGAACCTCATCCCAGATTCACTGCCGATGGAAGGATGCTATTGCCACCTCGCTACGTGCCTGGGGACAGAGAGGAGGAGTGTGTGGTACCCAGCCAGGGATAACGTGTCCCTTCGGAAGAAGTGGGGGACACAGCAATCAAATGCTCGGCCACATAGGGCCAAAGCACAGTGTTACTGCAGCATTTCCAGGAAGTTAGGTCTACCACTTCTCCCATTTATGTATGTGTGGTGATTAGTGAAAGACATTTTTCCAGGTAGAAGGGGAATTTGGAGGCGAATGGAACATATTCCCCAGCATTGTTCTTTTGGTCAAATTACAAATCAAATGTAAATGCATGAGCAAGAAGTGGGGATCACCAAGACAAGCAGGGACAGAAGGGACAGGGTCTGAAAAACCCTGCATATATAGTCATTGTGGTATTTGGAAAATAATTTAATCTCAAACCTCAAAGAACCAATTTCAGCACATCTCCAAAGTATTACTGTCCAGACTGGATGGTTTTGATCTGAAGAGTCTACAAGTCATCCAGCTTTGCTGATAATAACTAAATTGAAATAGATAAATATAGTAAATAATAAACTTAAAATAAGAAATAACTCAAGTAAAGCAATTCAGATGTTTTCATCCTGGAGCTCTATCCTGATATGGAAGTGAAAAAATAAAAAGTATTTATATATCCCACACTTTACAAAACACTTGAATATTTGCCCCAGTCTTAGCTTGGAGTTCTGTTTTGGACTACTGTTAGACAGAAGTTAGGGGATGGGAGGAAGAAGGTCTGGCAGGAGGTGAAAATGAGGGAAAGGTAAAGATGAGGGTAGCCTGCTCTAGATTCAGCTCAAATCCAAGGATCATAGCAATCAAACAATTGGTGCCTGTGTCCAGAGCTCAGCCAGCAACACCATGCATGAGATGTTGTTGCCCCCTATGAACCAGGAGAGACCCATGGAAAAGCCAGGCAACACCCCAGACAAGACCTTCTCCAGGGAAGGCTGGGTCAGCCTTGTGCATACCCTGATTATTTTATTCATTTTTCTGTCTTGAAACCACAAACTCGAGCAGCTCTGATTTTCCAACAGTCAGCAATTTGCCCTCCTTGTGTGACAGTCTGAATGTCTGTACCAGTGCCCATTCAAAACAAGGAACAGGCATGGCAAACGTGTACTGTGCCCCAAGCTGGCTGGGGACAGAGATGAAGAGATTAACAGAGCAATCTGCTGAACACAAGACCCCTTACTAAGCTGTAGCCCAGTTTCACTCCCCAGAACAAACTCTCCTTCCCACAGCATCACAGTCCCATTTTTGCCTGGCATAGGGTACCACCATGGCACTGCTCCCACTGGTGCCGAGCCCACAGCAAGTGGTGTGGTGGGAGAGACTCAGCCCAGCAGCAGCATCAGAAGGGCTTGAGGCACTAAGGGTTCCTGCCTTTCTTTAGTTCTGCCTTTGCCCCAGGGTTGCACAGAGAGCTGGGCAGTGAGCAGACTAATAAAGTGAAATACAATTCTTTTCTTCAAATGCCCCTCTTTTCTTTTTTTCCTTTGCAAAGTAGCTTCCCCCTCCCCCCCCCCCCCCCCCTTATTTCCACTCTCTTGTATTCCTTTCCTTCTCTGTTCAGTTTGTTTAATTTCTAATCACTGTTAGTGAGAGAGAGGAAAGTGACAAATGAGAAACCCTTCCCTGAAGGTGTGCAGCCTTCCCACACAACACTGTGGAAAACATTTTCAAATAGACCAAATTAAAATAACTTTAGCCTTGGGTAAAATATACATAGTGGGGTTCTTGTGATGTCTTGTGTAGGACCAGGAGCTGGACTTGATGATCCTGATGGGTCCCTTCAACTTAGAATACTATGATTCTGTAATTTTTTTCATTACCTAAGGTGGAAGAGAAATCATCTTATCTTTTGTTTTTTTATTCTTTGCATTGCTCTGCCCCAGACTTGCACAACTTTTCCTCTGTTCCGGTGTTTCAGCTGAAATTCTAGAAGAAAATGTATGAAGACCAACAGGAGGTGGACAAGGAATGTGAAAGTCATGCATCTACCTTGTGCCCAGGTTTTCTCCCTCTCTTCTTTGGGATCTTCATGACTGGCAGAGCAGTGGCTGGTGCTGGGCAGAGGTTGTGAACAGCCATTTTGATGGGCGCTGGCTGGAGCGGGGGCCGCCCTCGCTTCTTCCCTGCCATCCTGGGGGACTGCATCTCCCCAGCAGCCAGGCTTGGGTCCAGGCACGGTGGGTGGCTCATCTGCCCTAGGGAGACAAAATAAATAAATAAAGAAAAGCAAACCAACTCTTTATTTAATTTTCATTTTAGGTTTTTTTTAATTCCAAGGCGGTTCTCTCTATGCTGTCATTTTCCCTCCTACCGCTGCTCACAAAGCAGAAGAAACACACCACAGATGTATGACCCTGGGTGGGATTCACCTGACCAAAGCCTTATCTTCACCTGACCACAAAACACTTATATTTCCTCTTCCTCTCTCCTCACCATGAGTACCATAGAGGGAGTTACTTAGGTGGTGAGGCTTCTATTGCAGATGCCCAACAGGTGAATCCCACAACCTTGGGGATACCACCTCAACCTTGCATCCTGCAGTAAAGTGTGATGAAGGCTTGATCTTGCAGCCATCAGTCAGAGGGGCTTTGGAGTAGATGACCTTCTAAAGTCCCTGCCAACCTGATTTTTTTCACAAATTCCATGGTTCTGCAAATCTTGCCTCACCTCAGAAGTACTACCAATACCAAGGTGGACTTCTCTTCATCCACAGCACTCCTGGGTGGGGAGGCTGGGCTGGGCACGAGGCTGCCAGCACAAAGTAGCCGTGTTAGAGAGTAATTGCCAAATGTTTCCTCTCTGCAATTTTATAACATCTGTTACCATGCATGTTAGTAGTGGGCTTTTGGATGTATTCCGTTAGCACAGTTACTTCACCACAACCCCATGCAGCTGCTGAAGTTGAGCAGGGGTAATGGAGTGGAATCAGGTCCATTTTCCTCTGCCCAGATTTTAATAAAGAAAACAAATATACAGCTATACACACAATACCGAGGAAATATATGGCATCCTTCACAGCTTCTAGTAAGGGTTGCCCACGAACAAAGGTTAATTAAAAAAAAAAAAAAGCTGTAGCAATATGTTTCCAAATGTTGTTTTGTCCAGACATTTGATTTCCTGCATATGGGCAGAATAGTATTCCCAGTCCTGCCTGTGTGCATTGCTAGAGACAAGGTCCAAGCAATTCTCATACTTTTATGATAAACCTTGCAATGGCTAATGTTGTCAAAATTGTGCTCCCTCAGGCCAGTGATAATGGAAGACTCCCTGTTTTCTGGGCGTTTTTCACAGAGCAGGCTCAGAGCTCTCCTAGCTTCAGAGAAAACCTAAAGATGTAGTTCAAGAGCATTCTCTACATAAAGCAAATAAAGGTTTGTTTATTACTACAAACAACTACAATTTCTTACAAAATCTATAAACTATAAAGCCTACAAATTTCTCAGAGCACTTCAAATTTCACAGTTTCAGAACCCAGTGTGATTAGAGCTGATGTTGCTGGAAATGAAATCAGGATTGCTCACTCACATAGTGGGAAGGGTACCACTTGCTAGGGGTCTCTGGTGACAAGTATCTTCAGCAGGAAGCTTCTTTGTTTCAAAGGTAAGTATATTATGCCTAGTTCAAACTCTGTAAGCGTGACTAACCAAAAAGAAACCACCTTTAGGGAATAACCAAGCCGGAAGTTAAAAAAACCCCCGGGGGAAAAAAAAAAAAAATAGAGGGCTCCTAACCCTACCCTTCAGTAAATGCATTTATTTGCAGTATCTTAAAACCTGTGCGTTTTCAATAATGCTAGGGGTATCTGCTCTGTTCAGACAGATCCATTATATGGGGTGGGACTTCTAGATTGATTATAACATTTCCAGTCTTCAACCCCACTTGCCTAAAACTCTCAAGCAAATACTGAGTGTCAAACATCGGAGCAGAGCAAACCTGCGGAGCCCGATTTGCCATATTGTCCCACTCACTCTCCAGGCATGCTCAGCCAGCTTGGGAACCCCATGAAAGCCTGCTATGGGGCTTTGATTTTTACCAAAGAAAAGTCTCATGTGACTGCAGAGAGTGTCCTTTCAGGGTTAAAATCATCAGGCTTGCCACAGCAGGAGTTAAATGGAAAGGCCTGGTTTATCCTGAACATCACTGCTTCCCTTCTGTCTTCAGCAGTGTTCATTTTCCTCCCTGTAGTGCTTTCTGACAGACACCCTCAGTGCCTCTTCCACCTCCCAAAACAAAACATTCCCAGGATCTTACATTACAGGCTGTCTGTAGGCAGGGAGTTCAGCAGGGAAAGGAAATGCAACAATTACACTGGATTTGGCACCAAAACATACTGAAAGCCCAGTGCTGCAGGCTCTGCATTTTGTTCTGCTTTAAACAAAACCTGGCAGGATAAACCTTTGCAGCAGAGCTCGGTGGAGGCTGAGGAAGACAAATCCAGCCCAGGTTTGCTCCCTGCTTGAGGAAGGGAGTGGTTCCTGCAGAAGGGACCACTGGTGGCGTGGGGCTGTGAGAGAGGCTGTGCACCTGCACAGAACACCACACTGCACTGTCTGTATCATATTCTCCTCTGATGGTAAAAGTAGCTGATGGCACCTCAGAAACTCTGAGTTATCAACCCCCAAAACAAGAGGTACTGACCCAGAGCACCTCTTTGTCTGAAATGTTACTTTCTTTTGCAACTGGTGAAATATTAAATACATGGTGCTCAGGGAAACACGCTAAATTTTAACTATCACAGGCTTTTGTGCTGTTTCTGCATTCCCAATACTTGTGACACTGTGCTTTGGCAAAACCTCTTAGAGCTCCTCACCACATGTGCTGCCACACGAGACCCAGATGAACTGTGCACAAAAGGATCTCAGCTGATTTGATACAGCAAAGACATTGTCAACTTCAGTATACAAGCTGTTGCAATTACATTTTATTACAAGCCCAGCCGTGACTTGATTCTCCTTCCTTGTGTGCAGGGGAAATGTGAGTGCTTTTGGTGGCATTTATTGTCATGCTGCTGCAGATCCTGTGAGGCAAAGGTGCTCCCCAGCAGCTGGGAAGGGCAGCAGACACACAAAAACTGCTTCTGCCCAACAGTGAGGGGTCACAGCAAGAGCTTCCCTGACAGCCAGAAGGAAGCTCTTGGGCAGGCTGGAAAAGCATGCAGGCACATTGCAGCCGGCCAAAGAAGTCAGAGGGACACAGGGGCTTGTCTGACTGCCCCCCCCAGCAAAGTCACCTTGGAATGACTTTCCTAGGGCAGCTCTGACTGCTGCCACAGCCTGGGTTTGACCCATAGCTCAGTGCTGGAAAGATTGGTGAGTTCAAGGCAAGTTATGAGAGTTTGATGAAATTTAAGGTCAAATTCAAAGGAGCAAATTACAGGCTGCTAACAAAGGCACAGCCTCAGTTCAGGAAAGCACTGTAGTACAAATAGCTCAGGGGAATCCTATAGGAGGGAAACCAGTGTTTGTTTGCCCTGTCCTTGTACTTTTCCAAATACGCTAGCTTTTGGATGCCCAATGATGGTGCAGCTTCAGTCTGACCTGGGTCTATCACTTTTGTATTCTTAGTTCAAAAATAACAGCAGGAAACTGCATTTATGGCTGCTCATCACTTAATGCAGGGCCAGGCACAGGGTAACCTCTCCTGGCTTGTCTCTCAAACACTGTCATTTGGAAATACAATTTCTAACCCTGCCTTCCACACTGCCCCATCAGGTCCCAAAGAGGAGGCAGCAAGGAAACACTTCTCCCCACCTTGACATCCAGGCAAGCACTGCAGGAAGGGTGAAGTCTCATTCCCTCCAGCAGCTATGACTTCAGAGGATCCTGAGGAGCACCCTATGCACAGCAGTCTGCCCCATGGGATGCAGGAGTGGGGAGAAAAAATTCCCTAGGCCAATGCTGGTGAGCTGTAGGATGTTTGTAAGAGCCCGTGCTTTGCACCATCCATGCCTTGCACCGCATGTTGGTGTGTGTGCTGCACAGTTAGCAACGCAGATTTCCATGCTGGAAGCCACAGCTGAGAGCAGAGGGAGCTACGCTGCATTTCCTCCCAAGCTGAGTGTTTTTGATGGACTGCAACGATCCATTCTTCATAAAAATAAATGTCTGCAATAAATGCAGCTTTTAACCTGCACTCCAGTAACTGCAAGGACTGAAGGTAAAAATACCACATTAAATTTTACATCGGTAATTCCACAGGATGATCATTTAAACTTGGTTTATACCAGGTCTTATGCAAACCCATGCCTGGACAGGCTCAGGATGACACACAGGGAAGGAACAAGCAATTCCTGCTGTAAGCCAAAGGAACATGCAGGGGTACAGTCAAGTAGAAAACGTGCCCATTCCTCAGGAACTGAAGGAGATTGCCCTTCTCTCCCCTACACCCATTGCTCCCAGATGCAGAAAGACTCTGACCTGTCAGCATTTGCAGGGCTGCCTCCAACTCTTGACTCCTGCAGAGCTTAGTGTCTCACTGATCTACATACCCAACAGTGGTATGTGAAATGTGGAAAAGAGATAAACTTCTTGTGATCTTGTCTGTCTTTTCTTCAGATGTTCAGGAAAGCACATTTGTGGGGGAATATGACATTGTTAAACAAGAGGGAGGGGATACCTTTCAGTCAGGAACATGACTATTTTCCCCTCTTTCTCTGTGCACAGCAGGGCAGCCCTTTGACTGTGACCACTCAGAGATGATGGTCTGAGGAGTAGGTGAGCAAAAAGAAAAGCATTGTCAGATCTGGAAGCCAAGCTTTAAACCTGCCTGCTCCTCCTGGGGAGTATTCAGGGACATGAGACATTACACATCTCTTCATCGTGAATGCCAAAGCAGCATCGCAGAGTACATGAAAGGTAAGAGTTTAGTGAAGCAGACAGTAGGAATTTTTGCTAATAAAACCATTGAGCCAATATTCTCTGCATGTCTGTATGTGATTGCCTAATGACCTCTCATGGTGAACACCCATTTCACCATTGCTCAAAGAAAGGTCAGGATAATTTTTATCTGTGGCACAAAGTTCTTTTACAGTGATTTGCAAACCACTTCTCTTTTCTTGCCTATTGCTTTGGGGATTGAAATGAGAAGCTACTTCTCTGAGGAACTCTTGCTCATTTTGACCCCAGGAAGAGTATTTCTACATAGAACTCTTGAGACTGTCTAGCCAACAGCATATAAGTAAACAGGCCTATTTTCC